GCGTCGTGATCATTGTTGCATCACATGACTTCCTGCTACGGTCCAAATGAATCCTTGTAACTAGTATTTACAACTATACTGACATGTATAATTCAGTAACACTGAAATCAATTTTATAGATGCTTTTTGATTGGTTATTCTGGCAGACATTTTTCTTTCCAACTTATAACTCCAATTTACAGGGTCAATGGGGATCCTGATTCACGGATGAATATAGGTCCCCAGAGTGAGTGTGTGAGTGAGTTTAGTTTTTTTTTATGCCACGTGTAGCAATATTTCCAGCAATATCATGGTGGGGGACACCAGAAATGGGCTTAATTTTTTGCTGGTGAAAGAGGCGACTATAGGGAATTGGTGGTCAGGTTATGAGACTCAGTGGATTACATGTCATGGCATATCAACCGTGTGGTTTGATGCTCATGATACCATCCCCTGCTGCACCTCAACATACAGAACACTATCCCTGCTGCACCTCAACATACAGAACACTACCCCTGCTGCACCTAAACACACAGAACACTACCCCTGCTACACTTAAACATACAGAGTACTATCCCTGTTGCACCAAAACCTAATCTTGCCTATTACAGCTAATTTTTCTTACTTTACTAAGCATGAAAGCAAATGTTATCTTTAAAATTAAGCTTTAATAAGTCCTGGCCATAATGTTAAACGTTTAACTGTCCACTTCCCCATTCATCTCAAAATGGTGGGACTCCATATTGCCAGCTGCACCTAAACACACAGAACACTATCCTTGCTAACCAGCTTAAATGACAGCTGAAGACAGGCACAAGATCCCAGCATGAAATAAGGGACTGGATCAGAGCTTTCTTAACAACAGTATCGCTGTTACAGACACAGAAAAAGAAATTTGTAAAACATCCATGCAAGTGTATCATACAAACAGTTTGGAAAATTTCAACTTCTTCAGTATCAGAAACTGAAGGGATTCACTGGATTCACTTCCATGATATATCAAAAGACATTCATTCTCATAGAGGCAATCAAATATGAAAAAAGATTTGAGAACATTAAACTTGACATTATTTTGATTTCAGTTACCAATTGTTAGTATAGTATCAAATGCTAATGTTAAATAATGGAAGATTGTTTTGTGACATTAGGCACATTCTAATTTAGTGTGAGTGAGTGTAAGTGAGTTGGGTTTTCGCCACTTTTAGCAATATTCCAGCAATATCACGGCAGTGGGGACACCAGAAATGGGCTTCACACACATAGGCCCCTACTGCGGGTCAGAAAATCGATAAACTAGGCCCTGGTTTAGTATTCACACTCCCTACTACCTATAGTTTTGTATACTTCCAGCATAGCAACTTCGGTCTTTGGCGATTTAATAAAACTATCAAGTGCATCCCCATGGAAAGCACATGTACTGTGATGCCTCCAACATACATCGGAGATATGGACAAAAGCTTTTGATACTTGTGAGACCTTTAAAATACGATATAGTCATTGACGTGTGTAATTGTCCGGTTTTCGATCATGTCACCGTATTTCTGTGATGAACCTTTACATATTATATAGTAGGGTGTGTGGATACTAAACCGGGGGCTAGTTTATCGTTTTTCTGACTGACGCGGTGTGGGGCCTATGTTCACACATTGTGCCCATCTAATCATTAAGAGATATCATCTCAGCTGATACCCAAGTTATAGTCTGTCAAACATTTGACACCACTCTACCAGAAACGTTCGTTAGTAACATGGATAGATTTCAACCCCTACAAATAGGTACACACTTTCACACAAACATGAAACATTAAACATTAAATACCTTATGTAGACGTAGGCACAGCTGTTGCCTGACGTTTGGCCTGACTGCTGTTCCATAAACAGTGATAAAGAGATCTTCACACTTCAATCCACATAGACAATCAATTATGCAACACGAGTAACCTGATGTGATACGCTTTGTAATGCCTTAACCTGTAGTATTGATGGGAACAAAACTCCCAACACCACTGCTGCTTCTGCTACCATGGAAACCAATCACGCTCATTAGGTAAATGCCAACATACGGACATAAAGCACCAATTCTGTGCGATGGACAAGGATAAGCTTCCGCACCGAGACACAAGTCATGAATTAATCATCCAAATGATCGACATGGTGTCTAAACGATTGTATCTTCATCCAACAATTACTTGATCAATACTCTCTACTGCCACCAGTGACCAATGTTCTGGTGAAGGACGTCCATTTGGGAGATGAATATTGTCTTTACTAAACCATCGTTCATAATGGATTCATAATGGAAGTTTTGTTTATTAATGTACATTAAATAATACAGTGATCATGTTTGCTCATAACTGATTTATTTTGTCTCCAAACAACGTCAGTGTTTTCATCATTCTGCGTGATTACCCAAGATGCATTGTTGTCATGAGTCTATTATAGTTGTCGACAGGAAACAACACGCCCATTGTCGCGTCGTGATCATTGTTGCATCACATGACTTCCTGCTACGGTCCAAATGAATCCTTGTAACTAGTATTTACAACTATACTGACATGTATAATTCAGTAACACTGAAATCAATTTTATAGATGCGTTTTGATTGGTTATTCTGGCAGACATTTTTTCTTTCCAACTAACTCCAATTTACTGGGTCTATGGGGATCCGATCACGGATGAATATAGGTCCCCAGTAACCGATTGCTGGTGAGTGTGTGAGTGAGTTTAGTTTTATGCCACTTGTAGCAATATTCCAGCAATATCATGGTGGGGACACCAGAAATGGGCTTCATTTTTGCTGGTGAAAGAGGCTGACTAAAGGGATTTGGTGGTCAGGTTATGAGACTCGAGTGGATTACATGTCATGGCATATCATCTGTGTGGATTGATGCTCATGATATCACTGATGGTTTTAGTTTTATTGTTTACAGATCACACCCAGCCACAGTCATACAGCTTAAATATGGAATTTGTCTTACTCAACAAACTATGGTCTTAAACATGATTTTTCAGCATAATCTTACTCAACACTGATTCAAGAAAAGTGCTGAATATTACAAGAACCGAGGAGTATTTACTAGTTTGGTAGTTTGAGACAAGAATAAAGTTGTAAGGAACGGTGATTCAGTGATACATTTTACATTGCAACCAATACTATCCAGCTATACCAACATGAACCAAGTAAACCAGTGGTTGATGGCATGAACAACAATAGTAATAGCAATAGTAATTAAGGCTGGTTATATGGCGCTCATATCCAGGCACATTGCCTGCACATGCCTGCTACGTACATTACTATTCCTGGTCATAGGACACTATCATACTTTCCGATACATTTTCAACTCCCTGGGGAGCATACAGCCATGCAGCCCATTAGGCGCAATGAACTAAACACTCACATTGCCAGCACATCCTCGCGGGTACCCATTTTACAGCTGGGTGAACTGACACGATGTGGATCTAAGTATCTTGTCCAAGGATACTACGCAAATGTGCCCACCTCGGGACCCGAACCTAGGTGCCTCCACCAGGGATCGAACCTGGGCCTTCAGCGTGATAGGCAGACACCTTACCAATGTACTCCTGCGCTCCACAACAACCCATGCAAAGGTACAGGAACTACCAAATGTGCTTCAACAATTCTTATGACAAGCATGAAGTACTGTGGACCATTCACCCTTCCCTAGGATTCAGATGTTTTTGTTTATTGTTTAACGCCAGACTCAGCTGTATTCAAGTTATATTGGGACGGTCAGTAAATAATCTAGTGATTAACAGCATGAGTGTTGATCTACACAAAAGGGATACGATGACATGTGTCAACCAAGTCAGTGAGCCTGACCATCTGATCCCGTTAGTCGTCTTTTATGACAAGCATAGCTTGCTGAAGACCTATTCTAACCCAGATCTTCATGGGTTGACATAGATGGAATGTAAAAACTAGTAGTAAACAATGTAAACATCATAAAGTTATGAGTGCAACTAGTATGAAATTTATAATGGAGTAGCTCGATATAAATTCATAGTGTGTCCCCCAGTTATGTACCTTGAGCTGATCACGTATACTAATGTATTTTGTTTAAAATATTAGATATGAAAACATCACCGGATAAAATTGAATACCTTTAATTTTTTTCAACTAAAATGATCTTTACATCATACTGAATTTGAAAAGAGAATGAAAAAAAATCACAGTAATCAAACAGTAATCATTAATAATGTTCAAAAACATTTTCTTTCCAAAAATATTAAAACCTTTGAAAACATCATGCTAAGGACCATGATGTGAATTACATGATTAACGAGGCAAAGTCGTCCTGACCAACGAGGTTGTATCATCTCTCGAACAACAGTAGAAGCACTTGACATTACCCTAGCAACTACAGTGGCTGTCATGGAAGATCTGAGAAACAGTGTTTGCTAGACACTTGTAGTATACATGCCCCAATCACGCCTATCACTATCACTGATATGTCCAATATATGACTTATGACTGTTGTCATTGGACCTATATAGTTTCTGTGTATCTCCTTGTCCTTGTTGATCAATTCTTGAGTAAAGGTTGTGGATAATACGGCTTGTTTCTTGTACAAACTTGTCTTCCCATGCTAAACATACCAATATCCTTGTAGGTCGTATCGAGCCCACCTGTGACGGGTGTAAAAACCTTGGAGTCAACTTTGTGTGCAGACTCTTTCAGTGTTGTCACAACCCCTAGTGTACAGTAATTTCTTATGTAAATTTTACTGAAATTTTTATTGAAAAGAATAGAGTGGGTGAGTGAGTATGGTTTTACGCCAGGAATATTCCAGCAATAACACGACTGGGGGACACCAGAAATGGGCTTCACACATTGTACCCATGTGGGGAATCGAACCCGGGTCTTCGGCTTGAATGCTTTAACCTCAAGGCTACCTCACCGCCCCAGAAACAAATAGGAAATCTCACCTGATTGTCTTCATATCAAATATATATAAACATAAATCATGGGACTTTATAACTGATGCTTACTTGTGACGTCACGGTTACTGATTATATCACATCAATAGGCTTCTTACATTGTGATGCAACTTTACTGTAGCAATATCTCACAGGAGATATCAGTTCATTTCACGCTAATTGTATCTCCTGTAGAAGCCACCTTTGGATTATGTAAGTTTTTATCTTCTGAACAATGACATCACAATCAACTGACATCACAATTCTCTCTACCACCGAGGCCGGTTAGCTGTACTTTACACACTAATGGCATTGGTTCGAATTACATTTTACAAAAGTCGGAAGAATGATTCTGGATTACAAATAGAAACTCACTCTGCTGTCTTTTGACATCAAATGTACTTGTTAATAAAGCTAAAAAACCTCAGCATGTTTGAGATTTTGAAAGTTGTAACAAATTGTTTTGATATAATTGATTTAATGACATGTTGTGAAATTCTCTATATGTTTGTCGTTAAAATTATAAATGTAAATAACAGTGCAGCACAAAGAGATATGAACAAAAAATTAAAAACAATCTACTGAATTTAATTTATATTAACACTCTGAATTGAAGAATGCATTATCATACCTACTAGGGCTGGGACAGGTCCAAATTTTCTACCCAGGTACCCTACCCCCTATTACCCTACTCTACCCGGATACCCGTTATGTTAATTCCTGATATCAAATTTGTAAGAGATGGCAATCTAATCTTCTGCTCGGAGGGGTTGGAAGGGTAGCCTTGTGGTTAAAGCGTTTGCTCGTCACACTGAAGATCCGGGTTTGATTCCCCACATGGGCACAATGTGTGAAGCCCATTTCTGGTGTACCCCGCTGTGATATTGCTAGAATATTGCAAAAAGGCGTAAAAATACAGTCACTCACTCAGCTCGTAGGCTACAATTTTGAGTTTATTCAATATCTTTACCATGTATTATATTCAAACCAGGTGACTGAACAATTATGTCTAAATCTTACAGTCACACAATCATGGGTCTTAATTTACTGTGTGCTTCCTGTCATTGTGGAGTTGTAGTGACAATGATAAACTGGATACAGACAGGTACCTAGCACCAACATTTACTGTATCGGCATCAGCAGAAGTAGTGACAATGAAAAACTGGATACACTTTACAAGCTGTCATAATCCACCTTAAGTTACTGTGTGCTTCCTGTCATTGTGGAGTTGTAGTGACAATGATAAACTGGATAGTAGCTTAATCCACCTTAATTCACTGTGTGCTTCCTGTCATTGTGGGATAATTAACTTATTAGGTAATTACCATGATTACAATTATCACTCTTTACAGCGTGAACTCTTTGACTATTTGCAAACAAAATATCAGAGTATAAACATCTGTGTACAGTTACATGCTAACAAAAAAATAAGTAACATGTTGGAACATATCAATCAGTGTTTAAAACATTTCAGACAACTCGCTCAAACATGGCCTCTAGCATAATTTTCAGTAGATTTTCGTGTTACCATATGGACTACTTTTGCACTCACTGGGCAAAACAAAATTTTACTAGACTCAGGCTTCGAAAAAGTGGCTAAAGTCACAAAGATGCGGTATATGACCAAGATATTTTATGGATTTAAGCTTCTATATTCTTAAATAAACAATAAAGAAGATTAAATCCATAAAATATCTTCTAAAAGACATTATACGGCATAATTTTGAAAATGTCACAACACATTAATTATAGTCTGTTGCAAGTGCTGGAGTTGCCATGTTTCACAGACATATCAACACATCATAAATTTACTCCAAAAATATGAAACAAAATGCGCCACCCGTGTGTGAATTCATATTTTATTCCTGCACATATTATTCAATTATTGAATAAACAAACTGTTTCAATACTCTGGTTTGAGCACTCTTTGGGCTAACCAACTGTCTATTTATAGAAACAAAATGTAAATCTGATTGCATAATCGCGACAGAACAAGCCTTACCCAGTCATGTCAGTTACACATAAACTGATCAACAGCAATGGATGGACCACGAAAAGTAAGTATTACGAGGTATGTACAGTGACAGAACTGCATTATGGTAGGCAGTGGCAAAAATAGTACAATAGCTAATTCCATAATTACCTGTGCTTTCCAAAATCACAACTAGTATCAAGATTCATTTCCCTTTCCAATGAATTTTGATTTGCATCACAAACATCTAACCTCTGAACTTTATCTCACTGCCAAGAGAACACAGACAGTTCAATACCATGCCAAATAGGATTAACTCCCTGTGTCTGTCGCTAATTAACCTATACCTACAGCTAGTACGGTACCTTCCATCTACAAAACTCACCCATAGCTTCAGCTAAACCTCCACCAGTAGTGCAGATGCACAGTATGAAACCTAATTAACTAACGAAGTAATTCCGTCAAATCCCAGCATAATACTGTTAATGAAAGCAGTCGACTGCCCGCTATCAACACAGAATCACATTCCTGACCCTAATTAACCCAGCCAGCACAGTGTGGTATTACATTTATTGTGAGAAACCATCCACTACTACTGCCACTAAATGTAAAATGATTTATATGCAGGTCTTTGTGGACACAGATGTGTTTTTTACAGCACTGTGTTATATAGAAATAGTTCTGCTCTTTAGAAACCTAGGGCGTGATTTATTTTCACAACAGTGGGGGGTTTGTGAGTTGTAATGTATGAGACATAGTTGAATAAAAGCGACTGAACTAGTAAATAATGGTGCAGCTATAAAGCATATGACACAATACCAATAGCATAAAGGTAGAAAGTTTGTTATAAGCTTGCTGAAGATGGGTGACCCTTAGGTATGTATTTGTGCCAGCAAGAACACTTTTAGATCAATTAAAACATGAGTACTGAAATTTCCCAAACCCACCCACTGATGATGAGAAACACAGACAAAGTGGGCTCATAATGGGTTTGATTCCCCACATGGGTACAATACATGAAGCCCATTTCTGGTCTGTTCCATGGTGACATTGCTGAAATGCTGCTGAAGACGGCATAAAACCAAACATAGATTGTTGCCAGATATCAAGTGGTTGAGCACACATCAAAGAAACTAAAGCATCTTCAATAATAGTTATTAGGTAGCTACATGCCTTTCCACACTGCTGTGTAAATTATTGCCCCGCCCTCCCAAAATATGTACCTGTAGAGATCCGGATTAGAATGAGTCTTCTGACAGCAACACATGCTTATTGTAAGAGGCGACAGTGGTTGGACAGGCTTGCTGACTTAGTTAACACACATCACTGTATCCCAGTTGCGTAGATTGATGCTCATACTGTTGATCACTGGATCATCAGACTTGATTATTTACAGACCACCGCCATACAGGTGGACTATTGCTGAGTGCGGCGTAAAACATCAAAACCAACCAACCCAAAATATGTAATATTCACAAGAAAAAAAGGGCTTGTCATGCCAAATTGTGGGTTTGTTAACACGCTGCTTGTAACAATTACAACCAGACTGCTCAAGAATTTTGTCAGGAGGTGCTATTTCAGCAGGACGCTTAAAACATCAACGCTATATTTGAAATAGCTCGCCATCACTTTTGTTGTTTGTGTTGCACTAAACTACACATGTGCTATGCACACACCTTTAAGAAAGTGGTCAAATGTAACATATGTTATATTTGGGATTACACCTTTTCAGTAAAGTACAGATTCTAGAACAGGGTTGAGTCTGATCCAGGATTCGAACCCACAATCAGAATGAGGCACATAATCGGATGTGACTGAAATCCAAAAGTACTATAACCTGCTTTACTGAGAAAGTGTAATTCCAAACATAACACATGTTACATATGTGCTATATAACTCCCTAGTAACTATGGGTAACAAGGAAGTACAAGTGTATCACCAGTACCAAGAGAAAGTCAAGGGTCCTTGTCATAACCGTAATACTGAAAGTGAAACACTCACAGATCCTTACATTTACATGGCATATGAGACAGCCATATGTTATATTGTGGATTACGACTTCACAGTAAAGTACAGATTCCAGTACATTCTGACTAACGGGATCGGGTGGTCAGGCTTGCTGACTTGGTTGACACATGTCATCGTATCCCAATTGCGTAGATTAATGCTCATGCTGCTGATGACTGGATTGTCTGGTCCAGACTTGATTATTTACAGACCGCCATAACCATATAGCTGGAATATTGCTGAGTGCAGCGTGAAACTAAACTCACTCACTCACATTCCAGTACACTCTTAGAGTCCCAGGATTGGAACCCGTGCTTTCAGAGTGAGGCAACACCTGTACACATAGTCAACCCACTCTGCCACTGCAGCTTCCCCCAGAAGGACATTTGAGAACTGGTTACAATCTAGATGACACTTTGTGTACCCCTCTGACAAATGTAAATTGGCCTTACTACACATTGCTGAAAGATATAAATACACAATGCCATTTAGAAAGTGGTCAAATGTAACCATATGTTATATTTGGAGTCACACTTTCTCAGTAATCCCAAATATAACATATGGTACATCCAAAATGGGACTAAACCCCGCAAAAGTACAAGATTCTGTACCTTACTGAGAAAGTGTAATCCCAAATGTAACAGGGCGGTGGGGTAGCCTAATGGTTACAGCATTGGCTTGTCATGTTGAAGACCTGGCTACAGTCGATTCCCCACATGGGTACATGTCCTTTGAAAAGGAGCCACACATTTGCTGGAATATTGCTAAATCGCATAAAACAATATTCACTCACTCACAAATGTAACACATGCTACAATATTTCAGTTATTTCACAATGTGTCAGCTTCATGTGAGAGGAAAGCCTGAAGTGTGAATCCATGGGCACAGGTGAAACCACTTCAGTGAAACCATGGGCACAGTTGAAACCACTTCAGTGAAACCATGGGCAAAGGTGAAACCACTTCAGTGAAACCATGGGCACTGGTGAGACCACTTCAGTGAAACCATGGGCACAGGTGAAACCACTTCAGTGAAATCATGGGCACAGGTGAAACCACTTCAGTGAAACCATGGGCACAGGTGAAACCACTTCAGTGAAATCATGGGCACAGGTGAAACCACTTCAGTGAAACCATGGGCACAGGTGAAACCACTTCAGTGAAACCATGGGCACAGGTGAAACCACTTCAGTGAAACCATGGGCACAGGTGAAACCACTTCAGTGAAACCATGGGCACAGGTGAAACCACTTCAGTGAAACCAAGGGCACAGGGGAAACCACTTCAGTGAAACCATGGGCACAGGTGAGACCACTTCATTGGAAAAAATGGGCACAGGTGAAACCATTTCAGTGAAACCATGGGCACAGGGGAAACCATTTCAGTGAAGCCATGGGCACAGGTTTGATGCTAGTCTTTGAACAACATTTAGAAGTGAAACACATAAAGGAAAGAATTTATATATGTCAACTTCTTTATTGTGAGGTACACAGTGTTTCAGACTATATTCTAACTCCTCCATCTTTCACCTGATGAAGGAGTAAGCATATACTACAAAATCTTGTGTCAACATCAATAAATTCTTATATTTTGATTTGTCATATTGAAAATATTTATAAGTTCAGGTGAGCTACATGGCCTACAACAGGTAATTTCAGTTGCTGTCACTGATACTCCTGACCATATGTACAGACCTGTGCTGGGGTACTGTATTGGGTACCGAATATGAAGAAAGAATGAATGAATGAATGAATGAATGAATGAATGAATGAATGAATGAATGAATGAATGAATGAATGAATGAATGAATGAATGAATGAATGAATGAATGAATGCCTTTAGGTTTTATGGTTTGATGCTGGCACAAAACACATTAACAAGATATATGTTTCTGGCATACCTAAAGTGTCTAAGTAACACAACTCAGCTTTGACTTTTCTATAACTGTGACGATGATGAGTATGATTTCACGCCGCTTTAAGTTTTAGCAATAGTCCAGCAATATTCCAGCAATATCACGACAGAGGACACCAGAAATGGGCTTCACACATTGTACCCATGTGGGGAATCGAACCAAGGTCTTTGGCGTGATGAGCGGATGCTTTAACCACTAGGCTACCCCACTGCCCCCTTTCTATAACTAATGGAACTACAAACTAAATGAAAGAACGCAGTCATGACAAAGTAAAAACAAATATATCTTTCAAACCAGTCAATTTGATTTATTCTTTATCTGAAAACCTGTAAGTCAGAAACGAAATAAATCGATTATGACCTCCCTTTAGAGTGTTCAGGCAATCATCTGATTTTTATATATCTTCTACGTTTTATTCAACCCATTCACAGTCTCGACACCCTCCACTAATCATTCATGTGATGTCACGATGCCCTAATAATGAACACAATTAACACATCCTTTATGCAATCAATACATGTTTCAATGGGACCACCATACAAGTTATGTTAACGAGACACCTGATATCAGTATCAGACAATTCCAGCAACATTAACCTCAAGTTACTCATAACTAATGTACTTACAGACTACAATGAAAACGCACAATGAGAAAAGATGCGTGACTCCTCTGACAATAAAAGTTCTTGAAGCGTGAACTACGATATTGTATATTATTCATTACAGTTTAATGAGGGCAAGATGACATATGGAATTGAGAATATCAAACAGAAAAATACAACAAATGTATTGTAAAAGTCATTTTACTATTTTAGTACAAGGCTATGTATCAAATGGTACTTAGACCCAAAATGTTCTACACACTTAAACACATGAACTCAAATATCAAAGCATTGTAAAGCAAAGATTCACACACACTCAAATGATTGGTCAACTTGGGTAAATACATAATTCGTTAAATATCTAAATCTTTTCTGACCTTTTTTGATCAACCAGTATTCTAAACATGGTACACATATCATTCAGGTTCTAGCATGCAAAATCTGGGACTGAACAAACTTTACAATCCAAGAACCAGATACTGGAGTGCTAAAATTCTGAAGAAAGAGTGTGAAAAGCTTTACACTACAGGAAAAGTCCACTTTCAGTCGCCTCAGCGTTAACTTTTAGAATCTAACAGTCGGTTTTCTCCCCGAGAGTGTTTGCCTCTGCTTGTTATAAACATGAGCAGGTGACACGACAGTTGATAATAAGGAACTCAGTTTCAGTGGTGAGGTTCAATTTCCTGATCAGTTTCAGGAATATCTGATAGAGTTACATGGAAATGCTGTGACAATATTTGATTGTCTGATTATTATTGCAACCATTGCTTGTTTCGGAAGGTGACAAAAGACTTGTTGCATCACTCTTATCATGATCTTCACACTGAATTATTCTGTCCCATATGTTTGAAATCGTCAACCAATCAAAATGCCTCTTTTCAACATCAGGCACAGATCCACATTCAAATGATTGTGTTCCTGGCTTAATTGACAAAACAAATACATATGGTAATCTTTATCTCTACACATAGAACAACGCCTAGCATAATGGGAACTACAGCTGAAATTGTGATGCATCATTGCAAGATTCCTATTTTCATTTACAAAGGTAGTGTTCATCTCCAATGACACAACATAGTTTTGACTGGGCACATTACATGAAATAGCAGTTATGCAGTGCTTCAGCCAGGAGTTAAAATTTGAGTGTTGCCAATTGGCACCTTAACTACTAACATGTGTGCCAATGCAGTTGAGACTTTTGCCATTCACAGTAACCATGGTATAGAAGACCTGTGGATTATATTAAATGTTGTGCCAAAGGGTACGCTCTAGCATTGAAAAAATGTGCCACTGCATATTTTTTAGTGTCAATGGCGCAATGGCGCTTGCCTGGCTGAAGCGCTGGTTATGTTATGCACAAGAACAATACAATATTACTAGGCCTTTATGCCACGTTATCTAAAACATGTGTGTCTTAATAAGTTAAACCAGATCCAAATAGCAAACTGGCAGAAGAGCTGACACATAAGACTATGGTGAAAAGGATGAGAACTGCTTTGTCCATAATGCGATATTGCCTTAATAAAGGGAACAACACTTCTCTCATTCCTCATTTTAATTATCCCATGGAATAATCAGATGCCAGTTTGTATCAGCAGCTCCACAAAATGGGCCTCACAGACAACAAAGGAAATCCCATCAATTCCTTGCAGATGATGCTTACAAGAACAAACCCTTTCACCTAGCAAATTTGTATGCATGTAAATTTTTATGAAAAATTACGTTCTTCAGTATACAGCAATTATGTGAACCTACACATTTAGGAACTGCGACTTTCAAAATAGCAACAAATGTTATTTTTCAGGCAAACTGCATATAATACAACAATTAAAGCTCACTTCTTGAGATCCATGTATTTCCATACAAGTCCTACATCTGTGTATCATTCAGTTGATATTCCAGGGATTGGGAGAGCCAGGGGCCATGGGTCATTTTGCACATTAGAATAAAAAATGGCCCATTAAAATTTTAAAGTTTACTATTGATACAAGGGCATTGGCCCATTCTAAATTCAGAAAATGGCTAATAATCCTGAAAATGGCCCATTGTCAAAGTTATCTATCCCAATCCCTGTATTAATTTAAGACTTTATTACAAGTATTAATTAGTGGTGGCAACACTTTGATTACCTGACAAAGACTACACAAAGTCAGTAAAGTTCACCAGCACCTCTGAAGGAGTCAAGAGCATACAGCAATCAGTAGCTCACATTTAGTATTGGTGTAAACATGTCTGGAGTAACTTTTGAAAGTATGATTGATTTATAAATCCAGGTCTGATATGATGAATGCACTATATCATTACATGTTATGTAATATGCATGTTGCAGCAAGAGGAATGGTTAGCTGAGTGGCAAAAAACATGCTTCAAGGGATTATCACTGATAAAACATTGATTGATTTATGACTGTTATCTTGCAAAGTGGATTTGTCATAAGTAAGTGTGTATATATGTTGGTTTACTAAAGCAGATTACACCAATACACTTCACCCAATACTGACAGTATTATAAAAAAACATTGGTTTTTGTGCGTCAAAAAGACCAATGGTTACACATTTAAACAGTTGCCAAACATGTTTAGTATCAACAATGTTAAAAGTGAGTTATTCTTTAAATTTCCTCAATCTAATTAACGAATATCCTTTCATCGTGAAAACAGTACATAGACTGAATGAAAATCTGCAGGACTGAATCTTTTATGTGATCACCTTCTTAGCCAGTCTGTGTTTCCCCGGGCTCAGTCAAAAAGAGGGATACTGGAGGTATATATTTGACCTTTTCTTCCTGAAGCGAGTTATTTTATGAAAATGTATAATTTCGTAACAGCCAAGGTGTCGAGTTTGACAAATTAATCAGTATACTCACGGTTGCCACCATCAGTGATCTTCTACTGCAATCTAATCCCCTAGCGCATACAATGATCCGCCATTAGTTGTTTTGTTGTCGGTACCTTGGAAATGTCAGCGATACCAAGTAAAGCTGCGCGCACATGCCGTGTTTTCGTATCCTGCATAACATACTATTAGTTGAACAACTACATACGATAAAATACCGGTATTTGCTATTTTTACGAAAATAATTCCTATAAAAATTGAAGAGAGGTATTTTAAAAATATTTTTCTGGTCCCGTGATTGTCTGTTTTAAATATTCGTGACTATCGTAAAACAATATTCATTCACTCATTTCCAAACAACTCCACAATGTGTGAAGCCCATTTGTAGTGTCCCCCGCCGTGATATGGCTGGAATATTGCTAAAAACGGCGTCAAACCATACTCACTCATCAAAACAACTCAACCTATATCAGACCATCTGTGACTTAGATTTTGTCCCGTGTTTGTTTAAAAAGTTCAAGAATTAAAATGTACAGCTGCATCTGGACAATAATCATAGTATGGTGACTGAGTGAGATTTACGCCGCTTTGAGCAATATTTCGGTTATATCACGGTATGTTAACTTGAAATGAGAGGAAAGCCCAAAGTGATCCAAGTATTTGACGTTTACCACTGAATTGAAACCCACGGGCATGATCTCATGCTGGCGATCCTAAAGCCATAAACACAACGAACGGACATTCAAACCCAGGATGATCGGTTTCTGACACGCCTAAGGGACACAACTCTGCATAACGAGTACCGACGCCTTCTTGGGGTAAAGGAAATTGGTTCCCGACCTGGACGACATTTTAAAGACACAGGAACAACAATTTGATCATTTGGTGACATTTTATCTGTCACGCATTTACTTACTGTTTTCCAGACAAATGAGAAAAACTCGCTTTTCATTCAGTTGAAAAAAATACATCAAATCAACAAATTGGGAAAGAGGTAATGGTTAATCGGCGCAATAAATTTTATTTTAAAAATTCATTTGTTTCCCCAAATTTTGTCTCCCATTATAGAGCAATATTATATACCTCGTCATGTGCAAAGCTTGGAATATATATACCAAGCCAAGGAGGAAACAGACGATGAAGAGAAATTAACGGAAAATGTGACAATTTATTCCATTCCTTTGGAAATGTTTCATCTGTGTGGATATATATGACTTTTTTCTCATGCATTGGCAGTGGCTAGTGGTATGTTCGCAAAATGGAATAACACAACATTTTTCGCAAAATGGAATATCCCTTACTTCATGTATACCATTAAAAAAGTAAGGGATATTCCATTTTCGAACGTATTTTTATACGTATTTTTTTCAAATGTATACATTATTAAAAGTAAGGGATATTCCATTTTGCGAACATACCACTAGCCATGCCATGCTAAGAGAAAAGTAATTATACCTGCCAATAATGGTTGTCACCCCTTCATGCCGTGGGAGGGGAGGGGTGACAACCATTATTGCATGAGTATATATCCACATAGATGAAACATTTCCAAAGGAATGGAATATATTGTCACATTTTCCGTTAATTTCTCTTCATCATCTGTTTCCTCCTTGGCTTCATCATTTTGCATTTATCAGTCTTGTACATCCAAGATGCCCTACCTTTTTGGAATGGTATATATTAGGAACGCTTCGTTGTCACTTCACCCACAAGTGTTTAGCGCTTGCTTAGAACCTCTGTACTAACAGGATCTTCAAATAATCATCTTCATGTATTCATATCATACACTAAGGTCTAGAAAACCGATAAAACGCTGAACAGTAAAACTGGCACGCGAGTTAAATAGGGTGTACTAGCGAAAAATGTGTATTACATTTACAACTTCCTAGACAATATTTTTTTTTCATCTGATAGATAATGAAATGTAAAAAAGGGTTTGATTAAATGTAAAACATTCACTCCGGAATGATCTGTCATATCAGGGATAATCTATGTTATATAGTCTCCCTGGTCATATGTATAGCTGTTTCAGTGCTGATTTTATTGAGATGACATTTCGCAGGTCACGGAAAATTACACATTCTTTTCTCGGGTATATTTCTTCCATGTCCAGTTATATTTTACAGCTGAAATCAAACAAGACAGGTAATATATGCTTTGGAGTTTTTCTTGTTATTGAAACACTAAAAAACCAAACAGCCCCAATGTGTATGTTTGTTGACTGGTTGGTGCCGGCAAGCAATCCTAAACATGTAGAGCTCTGCATGCCACGTCCAGACATACACTGCACAGCTATGTATATTTCAGCGCACAGACATAATCTTTGGTTGCCTTATTATCCCTGTACTTTTCTGGTGCTCTGAAATATTCTTCTGCGGAGAGTTTTGTTTATTCTATAAATACTGCATTATCATACATTGATCAGAAGTCATAAAGGCGATCGTTTCTGTTAACAGTAAGAAACGTTATTTATTTCCCTTCCGGGACAAACTTACTGTTCAGGTTTAGTAAAGGGGTGAAATACGTTTATTTGTGTTAAAAATGTCAAACCACATCATGCTTTCTACGTTACACTTTACTGTATTCGATTAGTCGTACGATAGTAACATACGATAATAAATCTGTTCCATTTATGTTGTTTTCATAAAATATTGCACATTTCAATAGAAAAAAATGGCTAAAAATTGATTCTACGTTTTACAGTAACATAGTTAATAAATCGAATTATCTTTATTCGCAACTATCATACATCGATCCGAGTAGCTCTGCTCAATGCATCAACGTAGGCAACATGGCGGGAGCAACAACGTGCGTGTTTTTAGGCTTGAGCCTGGCTTTGTGTTTTGCTGTTGCTTTCTCGGCTGATGAAGCATGTATGTCATATGCAGGAGGGCATGTGTATCCACAGGAAACCAGGCGCACAACAGGCCATGCCACTCACTGGAGTCAAGTTGTCAGTAAGTTGAAATATTGAGGCGTGCGTTCGCCGGCTCCGGTAAAAGGTCTCTTAAAGGAAGCATTGCACGTAACAAGGCACGCCAGTCACGGCTGAATAATTACCGGGCGGTGATTAGATCATTGCAGTTTTACGTCAGTTTACTATAGGTTCACGTTAATACGAAAGTTCTCCCTGCCTAGCATGACAAGTAATTAGGTACCAGAAAGTAAATAACAATATGTTCGTTTGGGTGGATATTATTTTATGTCATGTTATGTCGACATTGTCGTGAATGTTTTAGTTAAAATGATGCGATGTTCTTTGTAGAAGGAAATCCGAGAGTGATAAAATTATTAAATTGTTTCAAGTCTTTTATTGGGTAGGAGGTGGAGGGATGCGCAAGATTGGTTAACTCGAAAATGATTTCAGAATGCTGTTGTTTCTTTTATGAATTAGAAATTGTTTGAATGTTCCCATGATTCCATGCTTACATATGTATATCATTGCTGCATATGTATATCATTGAAGTTACCAGAATTGTGATTGTTCATATGTAAATAGTGGTTATATTACAATCATGTAAGTGGTTGTTATATAAGAATATTGTTATATAAATAGTTGTTATATTAAATTTTTGTTATTAGCACCCTTTATTGAAAAACTTGGACCAACTTTTTGCAAGAAATATGCCTTGATAAATCTGATACTGGTGCAAGTTAAAGCCACCAGCTGTGGCCATGGTTATTGTACGTATGGCCCTGCAAGTCTTGTGTATTGAATATTGCTAACGCCCATGGACATGTTAGAGATAGGTATCACTTTTTATTTCAGCTGTCATTGTCAGCTTGGAGTAATAACTGCAGATACTTATCAAAGGCAATTAATCCCAGCTTTATACTTTGATGCGTGTAACATCGGTTAATCATGCTGTACCATGTGTCACTGTATCAATGTTTTATTGATTTTTTTGTTTTGTATGAGAATGTTTCAGTTGCAAAAGTTGTGATAACAGAGCCATTGTATTATGGATATGTTGGATACAAATGACTGTTTTCTGTTGGCAGTCTTCTAAATTCACACTTTTCCACTATTCTGAGGCTACCATACTAAATTATGTATACTAACCCTTAATCTCTGAATATATATAATTTTGATAGAAACAAATAACCCCATTTAAATTGAAAAGGAGCCCCAGTGAGATGGGATATTCAGAACCTGAGGAAATCTAGACTTGCCTCATTTTGGGCTTTAGAATTGCAGAAAGGGCTAGGCAGTAGGGAAAATAATGACAGGCTACTGTATGACAGGCTATAATTATGCAGAGGACAACCTGTAGTATATGAGGGTTCAGTTTTTGCTGCAAATTGGAACAGAATATAACTGACAGAAAGTGGAGTATAGTCGGAAGTTAAATGTGGGGTGTCTTGTTCGTCAGTCCACTGACCCTGCTAAATATGATTTACTGTGTACACACTGATAAAACTAAGGTATTGATGTTTGTTTCCAGTCTCGAAGCCAGCCCCAGACTGGAATGGTACAGCTGTGATCAAAGGAGAGTTTAAAGATATTAAGCTCTCAGACTATAAGGGGAAATACCTCGTCTTCTTCTTCTACCCACTGGACTTGTAAGTTCATTCACTATGATATGAAGTGGAAATTATCTGACTGATTCTTATATATCAATCAGATTTGTGAAAGAGTACATAGCAATGACACAATATATTTGTTGAAAAATGAATGCACTACAGTTGCCACAAGTCAAAGTAAACTGAAAGCTGTCCAAAAAGTAGTATATGAAGTCACTTTCCCTAGAGTATTTTCAAAGAAGTGTATGTTTGACAGTGTGATCCATTTCAAAGTGGTCCATCAAATTACTTTTTAGTTCAACATGTGCAGGGATGTAATTTAACCTGAAACATTTACATTAACATATTCAGACACAGCTGAGAAGCCTGATATTCTACTACCGGTATTTCTAAGGATACCATTAACTAGACAAACTGAACCAGGCTGGTGAGGGAGTGCAAAGTTGCACTCTGGTGTGTTGTTATGCACTGTGTAGGTAATGAATGTTCTGCTTGTTTAACTGTATCTTCTCTGTGGCAGCACGTTCGTATGTCCTACTGAGATCATCGCCTTCAGTGACCGGGTAGCTGAGTTCAGGAAGATTAAAACAGAAGTGGTAGCATGCTCGGTGGACTCTCAGTTCACTCACCTCGCCTGGTACGTAACATCCTGTGTTTGTTTAATTCCCCACTCAGCAATATTCCAGTTATGTGACGTCAGTCTGTCAATAACAGAGTCTGGACCAGACATAAGTAATTATGTTATAACATAGTTTGATTCTGTCAACAAGAGACAGGAACCTGTAATTGTGTTTGCAGTTTTATGTAAGGGAGATAATTCTGTTCAGGATCAACACTCCACGTGACCAGGGCGGTTTGGGTGCCATCAACATTCCCCTTCTCTCAGACATCACACATGACATCTCTAAGGCTTATGGCGTCTACCTGGAGGATCTTGGTCACACGTTGAGGCAAGTAACTTGACTGGATTGGTTAGTTCTGGGGGTCTGGTGAAATATGGTATCAATTTCAAAACACCATGATTCCCGCAACTGAAAATGAGAAAACAGTTAGACCAGTCACCTAAGGATCCTCAAGAAATGACTTCAGCCAAAAATGTTTTACTCTTGCCTTTGAAAGTTTCAAGGTCGAATAGTCAGCATCAACCACTTCTGTAGCTTGGATTATATTATAATGAATAAATATAGAATCAAAGCCTAGAGTCTATGATATCAAGAATTGTTGATAAAAGTCACAAACTGAAATTAAATCATTAAGATGAAGTATTTATTAAGGCTGTAATGATTCACTCGCATATTCGGTGAATCGAACCGTAGCCCTTCATGAATTCAATTCGTTATTCGTGGTCACCAGAACCGAATATTAACGAATATTTACCATTTTTTAAGGGAGCACGTTTTACTTGAACCCTTGTGTACTTTTGGAAAGTGAGATATGCAAGAATGGAATATGTACTAGCCTTGCAGTAGCACAAGTCATGTTAGTTTGCCAAGGCCGCACATGGTACTGTTAACTATAACTATTACATACCAAATTTGAGTGTCATGAGATCACTGGTTACCGCTGTGACAAATTAAAACTGTCAATATGGGCATTCCATATTGTACATCAATCACTTAACTACAATATTGTATTCGTGAATGAATAATTCGCTACCCAATATTCATGATACGTATCATATTCGCCACATAGTGTATTGGTTGCAGCCCTAGTATTTATGACAATCAATGAATGACGGCCAGGGTGCCTAACAGTTAATATGTTCTCTCAAGTCTACATAGATTAGGTTTGATACCCTATCATTCTTATGTGAAGCCAATTCATTGTAACTGTTGTGATGTTACTTCTGACTTATTGCCCAAACCAGTGTATTTCTGACTCTGTCATTAACGTAAGACGAATGTGTTATTCAGAGGCCTGTTCATCATTGACAACAAGGGAGTCCTTCGCCAGATCACCATGAACGATCTCCCCGTGGGCCGGTCTGTGGACGAGACCCTTCGGCTTGTTCAGGCCTTCCAATACACGGACAAACATGGGGAAGTGTGCCCCGCAGGCTGGAAACCAGGCAGTGATACGGTCAGTAACTTATAGTGATGGGGAAGGGAGGTAATCCTGCAAGCAGACAGCTAGGCAGTGATACGGTCAGTAACTTATAGTGATGGGGAAGGGAGGTAATCCTGCAAGCAGATAGCTGGGCAGTGATACGGTCAGTAACTTATAGTGATGGGGAAGGGAGGTAATCCTGCAAGCAGACAGCTAGGCAGTGATATGGTCAGTAACTTATAGTGATGGGGAAGGGAGGTAATCCTGCAAGCAGACAGCTAGGCAGTGATACGGTCAGTAACTTATAGTGATGGGGAAGGGAGGTAATCCTGCAAGCAGACAGCTAGGCAGTGATACGGTCAGTAACTTAAAGTGATGGGGAAGGGAGGTAATCCTGCAAGCAGAAGGCTAGGCAGTGATACGGTCAGTAACTTACAGTGATGGGGAAGGGAGGTAATCCTGATTGCAGACGGCTAGGCAGTGATATGGTCAGTAACTTATAGTGATGGGGAAGGAGGTAATCCTGCAAGCAGACGCTAGGCAGCTGGCCAGGCAGTGATATGGTGAGTAACTTATAGTGATGGGGAAGGAGGTAATCCTGCAAGCAGACAGTAAGTGATACGGTCAGTAACTTATAGTGATGGGGAAGGGAGGTAATCCCGCAAGCAGCAGATAAGCTAGGCAGTGATGCAACGGTCAGTAACTTATAGTGATGGGGAAGGGAGGTAATCCTGCAAGCAGACAGCTAGGGCAGTGATACGGTCAGTAACTTATAGTGATGGGGAAGGGAGGTAATCCTGCAAGCAGACAGCTAGGCAGTGATACGGTCAGTAACTTATAGTGATGGGGAAGGGAGGTAATCCTGCAAGCAGACAGCTAGGCAGTGATACGGTCAGTAACTTATAGTGATGGGGAAGGGAGGTAATCCTGCAAGCAGACAGCTAGGCAGTGATACGGTCAATAACTTACAGTGATGGGGAAGGGAGGTAATCCTGATTGCAGACGGCTAGGCAGTGATACGGTCAGTAACTTATAGTGATGGGGAAGGGAGGTAATCCTGCAAGCAGACAGCTAGGCAGTGATACGGTCAGTAACTTATAGTGATGGGGAAGGGAGGTAATCCTGATTGCAGACAGCTAGGCAGTGATATGGTCAGTGAAGCAGTGGGAAATGTTAGATAACATGAATCTGTAACTTTGGTGATAGGGGAACGGAGATAATCCTGCAAAAAGAGAGCCGGGCAGTGATACAGTCAGTGCAGCAGTGGGACATGTTGAATAACATGAACATGTAACTATGGTGATAGAAGGGAGGTAACCCTGCAAGCAGAAAGCCAGACAGTAATATGGTCAGCAGAGCAATGGGAAATGTTGGATAACATGAACATGTAACTATGGTGATATTGGAAGGGAGGTAACCCTGCAAGCAGAGAGCCAGACAGTAATATTGTCAGTAGAGCAATGGGAAATGATGGATATCATGAACATGTAACTATGGTGATAGGGGAAGGGAGGTAATCCTGCAAGCAGAGAACCAGACAGTAAGATGGTCAGTAGAGCAATGGGAAATGTTGGATAACATAAACATGTAACTATGGTGATAGGGGAAGGGAGGTAATCCTGCAAGCAGAGAACCAGACAGTAATATGGTCAGTAGAGCAATGGGAAATGTTGGATAACATGAACAAGTGACTATAGTGTAGTGCAGCCCTGGGAAATTTCAGATTGTGAACTTGTTAATGACAATGAATTTAAAGGTAGTTAAGAGTATTTACTGTGAAGTGATCTCAGTCATGTGTTGCTTTTCTACTCCACATGAACATATGCAAATAAAGGAGAACTGAACAAGGTTGTCTTATGAAGTTTTGGAAACTAAATGTGACTCTCCTATTAAATAGTGCAGGAACTAAATGTGATTCTCCTATTATATAGTGCAGGAACTAAATGTGATTCTCCTATTATATAGTGCAGGAACTAAATGTGATTCTCTTATATGAATGCAAGAAACAAGGCTAGGTACATATATCCAAGAATGCAGGAATGAATGAATATTTTCAGGAACAAGAAATGCTTTAGTTTTATACAGACCACAACTATTGGTCCACAAGAACAAGACTATAGTGTATCTTACTCCAATGAACAAAAATCCTGCACTGACAATGGTAATGTCAGTACCAATTCCATTGTATGTAAAAGACAGATAAGTGACCCAAATGATTTTAATTGATCGCTAATATTGAATGATAACACCAGGTGTTTGCAGTAGTGTTGGGAATTGGTTAAAATCTCATAATTGATAATTGGTTCATTACAACCTATCAATCTTCGGAAAAAAATGGTTAGCCTCATTTTTCATATTTTACTATCCAGGTTGTTATTGCAGATAAGTATAACATGATGCAACTTGCTTCTTTAAAGTGATGACTAATATATTATCATGAACATGAACTTCCCAGTGTCTTCAAGAAATATTCAGTCTTGACTTTTCAGTTAGTGAAGTGAGTATTCTAACAATTAAACATGTTTCCAGGCCCTGACAACTTTGAATATATGTTCCATCGTCAAGTGTTTCAAAGACTAAACCAGTAGTTCCAAAATCGTTTGTGTTCGATTATGAGAAAATGTGATCGATTGCTTGGTCGTTTGGTCACTGTGATCAATCTTCGATTATTTCAATTAATCGGAATACCACTAGTTTGCAGATAGGTGGAGTTTTTCTCTTGCTTAGGCGGATCCAGAAGGGGGTGCAGGGGTGCGCGCAAATTTAAGCTATATTGGTTTTCTTCTTTTTGTTTTTCAGATCATCCCAAATCCGAAAGAGTCCCAGAAATATTTCAGTAAACAGAAGTCTTCTGATGAGCTATAAACAATATGTCTTTAGATTTTAATTTTAGTCTCTTTCTGTTCATCTCATTTTGTGTCACTGTTCAGGAGCTTGGGAAAGTATGAGTGTAATTTATCATGTCATCTGTCTGTCACAATAAAGACAATCGAGAGGCCACGAGAAACACTTGTGTTTCCTGCAACTTCTTATCCATCATCTTCGTGACCATAGCTTCAGTGAAATTTGTTATTGATATCTTTTGGAAAATATTTCTTTGTTATTTATGTTTTATATGGAATTTTATCCATCAGTAGTTGTATGAAGTCAAGTTAGCGCCAGTTTAAGCAATATGTTGGCAGCAGAAACGTGTTGACAAATAATTTATTCCATGTACATACATTGTCTTTGTGAAGTCTGCTTAAGATCATGCTCTGTGGATATACTATGCAACATATTGCAATACTTTACCTTGCTGAATAAATTTTTGAAACTAGAAAGTCTGTCAGTTTGTATGGTGAATGGAAACACAAGTTGTTCAAGGTTTTTCATGATAATAAACAGGCGTCTTGTTGTTTTTCACGATGTGGATTTGGGCGGGGGTAGCCTAGTGGTTAAGGCATTTGCTTGTGACGCCAAATGCCTGGTTTCCATTCCTCAGACGTACAATGTATGAAGCCTGTGTGGTGCCTTTCACTCTGTTTATAGTGGCACATAGTCCTGTGTGGAACCAACAGGTCACCGTCAGGTCAAGTTAATCAAATGTTGGTTGCTGTGAGTAGACTGGTACTTGGCAATGTTCAGCCCTTAACCCTGAAAAGCTGCAGGCCCAAGGACCCAGAACCATAAAAAGTTATGGGTCCTGATCAGAATATGTAGGCCCTATATTTTGATATGGAAATAATACTCTTAGATGATGGGGATGAAAAAGCTGTCGGCCATAAGGACCTGCAGAAAACAAAAGCTGTGGGTCCGAGTGGTTTTCAGTCGGCTTCCGGCATAAGGACTGACGTTAATTTCGAACCCTGTTCAGCCTCTTGATGTTTCAGTCCTGACATACACAAGAGATCATGCCGCATGTGGCTTCTTCTGGTTTTGTTAGCAGTGAGCCTCTGTACTTCCAGCAGTGAAAGCTGGTGGGGTAAGTACTTGCTCGTCAGGCCAAAGATCCAGGTTTGATTCTCCACATGGGTACAATATGTTAAGCCCATTTCTGGTGTCCACCATCATAATATTGCTGGAATATTGCTAAAAGCGGCGTAAAACAACACTCACTCACTCACTCCAGCAGTGATACCTGGTCAGATGAGGCTGTGAGTGAGTGTTAACCTTCTGGCCCCTCATTGTCACCCTGTGGTGTGATTCCCAGGAGCTGTGTACTCTGATCCATTGGCCAGGGTAACAGCATTGTTAAGCACTGCTGAGGAAACTGGAAGCCAGCTGTTTCGTAATGCATTACAATGGCAGGCACTGATCAGCAAAATGTGCAGAACAGCTTCACCATCTACCAGTTAGTTGTAGCCAATGGCTAATTTATTGTTTTAGTTCACACCAATATCAGTTTTCCTCATGGGGTGTGTTGGCAGAGTTAGGTTTGGGCGAAAATATAGACCTCAATCTATTATGTTCTTACTTGAAATAACTTAAGGATGTCTGACTGCATATTTATTCATATTTATGTACTGGTATGTGACAAAGCATACACAAGTATATACATATGAAAATCAAGCACTTTTTACTTTTTACCAAGTTGCTCTCCAGCTATATCGGCATAGACAGTACACATGAAAATGGTACAACAGAACATCAGACTAGGTTCAACTACGTGTCACCATCCATTGTGGGGAAACGCTGCATTTATATTCAGGACTGTCCTTTCATGTTGGACTATACAGTCCTCTTCGGTAGGTTCATAACATTTGGTGCTCTTTCAAGTTCATTGGAAACTGAAACTTGGAATGGTAAATACCGTAGACACCCTTCTCTTTAGTATGTATGTGTCTAGCAAGGTTTCACAATGATTCTGGACAGATGATGTTTAGTGAGTGAGGGAGTTTAGTTTTACGCTGCATTCAGCAATATTCCAGCTATATGGCAATCGGTCTGTAAATAATCAAGTCTGGACCAGACAATCCAGTGATTAACAACATGAGCATCGATATGCGCAATTGGGAACTGATGACATGTGTCAACCAAGTCAGCGAGCCTGACCACCTGATCCCGTTAGTCACCTCTTACGACAAGCATGTGTTACTAAGATAAATGTTCTAACCCAGACCTTCACGGGTAGCTGATGTTTAAGACAACGTTAACCTTGAAGTGAAACATGCCTTCTTTAACCTACTGTAAACGAATACAACAAAGAGATCTCAAGGAGCAATATTTGAAACACAAAACTTGTTGATGCAAAACAACAAATAAACGCCAGGTCAGTGAAGCAATATAAATGAAAGACCGACAGAAAGTCTTGTAATTTATTGAATATGACTGTGTAATCAGGACAACATACAGTCAGCTGAGGAGACAGAATTAAATATATTGTGGCGTCATTTACAAAACAATATTCTCTCTGTTAAAGTGATATCCAGGCTATGAGTTTAAGCTATTGTTACCTTTTAAACTTGTGTATTTACAATGCATGTTAGCATAAAAGGTCATCATTATTATACTGGAACATATCAGTAGAAGTATATGTGTTGTACAGATTGCTGCAATTGTTCCTGGAAGCGGTCATTCTTTACAATACTATTCATAATGTTTACACAGTTTAGAGAGATTAGCACATTTGCAAGTCACACTGAAAACCTGAATACCATTCCACACACAGGTACAATATTAATGAGATCATTCTTCATGCTGCTGCTCAGTGCTGTGATACTGCTGGAATATTGCTAAAAGTGATGTCAAACCTGACTCGCTCTCCAATAATCAGCATTTAGATATTTACTGAAAACAAAAGTAAAAAGACATTTCATACTACATTACGTTCGATGGTCCAAAATTATCACCACCCAAGAATCTGGTTGCTTCTGGTAATTTGGACAGAAAGTCACACAGACCAAGGTATCCACATGTACTGTATACAAGTACCATGTAACATGTTATTGCTGACACTATCATTCTAATAAATGTCCCATCTGTTGGTTGGGGCACCGACATGTTTCATGTCAGGACAATTGATTTATGCCAGTATTAGTTCTTTAGCTTAGTGTAAGAACTCTTGCTGATTGACATGTTGATAACAATAGACATTCTGTAAGGTTGAAATCAAATGTGTCGAGGTGATAGTATGTAACAAATTACAAAAACATTGCTAGCACGGGTGGGGTTCGAACCCACGCGGACATACGTCCATTGGATCTTAAGTCCAACGCCTTAACCACTCGGCCACCGTGCTTCCGGTGAAGACGTGGGGTAATTAATTGTTTTGTTGTAGATGATTATGTATCGCCGTAGTAGTATTAACGTTTTGACGTGATGTCAAAGGAATATGTCGTGTTGATTTACAAAATGTATATCAGTGACTTTGGGGGAAATCAGCGACTTTTACTCAAAACCAGATCGTTTTTCGCCATTTTACCAGAACTCCGAACTGCGTTCTCAGCGTCGCAACACTGAGAGCTGATGTAAATGCGCTGCAAAGAGCTCGCCTGACTTTCGTAAACTGACCCAAACAAATGGTTACCAACATGGCGGCATCATTGAGTTTATGGACTTGGAGCAGTGAAGTTACCGATGATTAGCTCATAAAGCTGATTCGGATAACCAAAAACACAATTATCATCGATAAGATAAAAACTAACGGACCTTGTGCAACTAAACAGATTCGTCTAACGGATATCTGCCTGATCGGGCTGATGTCTTCTTCAGATCTTAATTTGACAAGAACTAACACAGCAACAGATAATCACTAATGTTCAGCCTCATGGGAAACTGTGTATCCTGTATCAAGAAACGGCGCGAACCCAAAAGGTATTTATTTAAAATCTTACACTTTGGACCTCGAGGAGGATTTAATGTAAAACTTATCACTGCCTACTACATGTACGAATTCAAAATAGAAGTCTGATCGATTTTAATTCCATAATTAAAATCAGTTTTCTCATTACAGGTTCATTAATAATTCTTGAATTTAAGATAATTGTTTTAAATTTTTGTGTGTGTAGTGTTCAATTCTGATAAAAATGATATAAGTATGCATGCTATAAGTTCAGTCATGGGCTACTGACTGTGACTAACATGTTATTCCATCTCAGAAATAACCCTGTTGTCAATCAGGTTAGAAGAGATCAACACCACCCTGTGTGTGTTGTAAGAAGAGACTGAATGGTTTGGGTTGGCCTGTAATTTGGGCTACTTCTCTGAATCAATAACCTACATGGTCCTGTAACCGCAGCTTATGTATATGTTCATGCAATAACCATGATAACAGAAATATCTCGAAAATGGTATCACATTTGGGCTTGTATATACTCAATAGTGTTTAGCATAAAATGGATATTTATGGCTGGTGTTGGTGAGTGCAATGTTAACGCACAAACATTCAAGTCTAACAAATGATTGTATCACAATCATTGATTACTAGTGATTAAATAAACATGATCATTGTGTCCAATGTTTCAGGCCAATCACACTGGCTTTCTTGGGTCTCGACTGCGCTGGCAAAACAACAACAACGAAAGTACTGATCGGAGGTGAGATGACAGAGTGAAAGTTTTTAAAGTAAAATTTCAAGTGACCATGAACATTTTGTTAAATACAGTGTTTATTCATATCTTTCATTGTATTGTTCTGGTTGAGGTTATGCTATTTACTAATATTTAGAGACTCAGGTGATGTTTGATTCTGATACTGAACTGAACTATGTGTTCTATTGCACACTGCTATTATACATTGTACATGCAGAATAGACCTTTTTCTTCAACTAAAATAATGTTGACCTCAAAAATTGTTTTCAGATAATACTATTTTATTACACATATCTTCTTTTCAAATTGTAGATCATATGCATAATATGGAACACTTATCAAATGTATATGATATATTTTTATCTATAAGTTCCGCAAAATCGAAATCCTAGATTCTTTTAAAACTGTTAATCTTGGTATGTCTAATATACATGGCATTATTTTGATGATGTGTGCAATTAATAGTGTAAATGGAGAGATACAATAATCAGATCAGTTGAAACATGATTACTATTCTTAACCTCTCATTCACAGAGCCATATGATAAAGATGTCGCCCCAACAGTCGGTTTCAACTCTGAAAAGTTCGTATTTGACCAGTTCGACATCACAATGTATGACCTTGGGGGTGGACCACAGATTCGAGCCATGTGGACAACGTATCTCCCCGAGCTATATGGAGTGGTGTACATTATTGATTCAACTGCAGGAGAGCGCCTTGAGGAAGTGAAGGAAAGTTTTCAGAAACTGATAGAAAATTACCACATATCAGGGAAGCCAGTATTGGTGTAAGTAGCAGCACTGTTTATTGTTTTGTTGTCTTGGTAGACGGTGGCCGTACGTTTATCGCACGATTCAATGGGCCGTAGTCTCTACGATTTTGTCAAACCACGAAGTTTGACAAATTTGAAAAAACATAAACCGGTAGCCCATATGTGGCATTGCACAGGCACTGCATGCAGGTTGCACAGTGATTGTGTGGTAAACGCACAAGTTTTTGGAACTGTAGGATTGTGGAATATTTCCACGGCTGCGCGACAATCACTGTGTAACCTCTGTAAGATATCCGTGCGATTTCTGTGCAACCTCCATGCAGATTGGCCTTGGCCGCGGTCACCCACAATGCCTAGAAAATCGTATGGAAAATCGTAGATTACTTTATGTGATCAAGGTCTTAAGTGCAGCTAGTTTATACTGGTGGCATATGGACAATACCATGGTGATGAAAATCAATGCATCTCCAGGAAAATGGGAAAGATGTTTAGTATTAAGGATTCCAGATGAGAGGTGGATTGGGAAACTGGAGACAAATACTTTTTTGACTTCACCATATCACAGCATGTATCATCTAGTTGCAAATATTACCATGGTTACAGTCCTGTGTTGACATGATCTTCTCTCCAGGCTGGCCAACAAGCAGGACAAGGAAGATGCTGTGGATGAGGTGGACATCTGTGAACAGCTTGATCTCTCCACCTGGGTCAACCTTCACAAGACTCCTTGTAGAATTGTAGGTCCCACATTTCTGTAGTTTCCCATAAATTTTACTTGTTAAAGGCGATGGGTTGCCTAGTGGTTAAAGCGGTCGCTCATCACGCCGAAGATCTGGATTCGATTCCCCACATAGGTACAATGTGTGAAGCCTATTTCTGGTGTCCCCTGTCGTGATATTGCTTGAATATTGCTAAAAGCGGCTTAAAACTAAACTCACTCACTCACTAGGTGTTAGATCATCAGAGCTCCAGATAAGCTGCATATTTGTGTAAAAATACTCATGTTAAAATTTGAAAAATGTAAGTTAATAATATACTCATTAATTGTGAAATTTGTCAGGTTTATTTTTGTAAGTAGCCAACTCAACCTATTTGTGTAGTGGTGATTTTCAGAATTCCGTCTGACCCAAGACGTTTGCTTTCAAATGTGGGTTCCATCCTCTTTTTCTTAGAAGGAGAGATGCAGTGCATGTTTTGATGATATTTTAATTTTTATAGAATTATAGCAGTTTAAAAATTTGAACATGGAAAAGTTTGTTCAAGCAATGACTTGAAAACGTTTGGTTGGATCGTTTCAATTTGGGGACCACCTTCGCTGTCTAAAGGAAAAGGTGCAGTTCAAATTTTGCTGTTGATATTTTTTAGTTTAAGAATTACAGCAATTTAATTATTGGAACTTGCTAACATTTTGTTGCATGTTTATGTTTAAAATGATGATCAGTGCTCCAGATAAGCTTTTTAATAATCTAGGTTGGATTAAACATGTCAGCTCATTCAGTGAGACAAGATACCTGTGGTTTTAAAATCTAACTCTCGAACTGGTTTTGTGTAGGAATCCTGTTCGGCTGTCAAGGGCACGGGACGCAAGATGGACCCCGCAATTAAAGAAGGAATGCAGTGGCTGTGTGATATGATTGAGAAGAACTTTGACTCCCTGAAGTCCAGGGTAGACAAGGATGTAGCCGTGGAAAAGGAAAAAGAGAAAGTAGAGGCAGCTGCTCGGAGAGAACGTGTTCGCAAAATACGAGAAGAGAGGTAAGCGAACCATCCATCGCCGTTGAGGTATTGTGAGTTGAAATGCTGGTGTGTCAACTTGTTCTCTCTGTAAGCTCTTGATTGGCTGTAGTTATAATTCTGTGCCATTCTAGTCCTTGCCATAGGTTTCAGGGATTTTTTTGTTTTTCTGACACTCTCATTTTCAATTCAGCAGTATTGTATATAAAGAGGTTCTGAGGTCATTGGACTGTCTCCATAGTCAGAGAGGAATGTTGTTGGTTCCACCCCTAATCATGTCATGCCAATAGATGTTAATAGATGCTACTTGTTGTTACCCAGTCCTGCCTTAAGGGATAAGACAAGGACTGGTCAGCATGGAGTCAATATAGTGTGTATTCACATCACCTGACCATCTTGATGCCTTAAGGGATAAGACAAGGACTGGTCAGCATGGAGTCAATATAGTGTGTATTCACATCACCTAGACCATCTTGATGCCTTAAGGGATAAGACAAGGACTGGTCAGCATGGAGTCAATATAGTGTGTATTCACATCACCTGACCATCTTGATGCCTTAAGGGATAAGACAAGGACTGGTCAGCATGGAGTCAATATAGTGTGTATTCACATCACCTGACCATCTTGATGCCTTAAGGGATAAGACAAGGACTGGTCAGCATGGAGTCAATATAGTGTGTATTCACATCACCTGACCATCTTGATGCCTTAAGGGATAAGACAAGGACTGGTCAGCATGGAGTCAATATAGTGTGTATTCACATCACCTGACCATCTTGATGCCTTAAGGGATAAGACAAGGACTGGTCAGCATGGAGTCAATATAGTGTGTATTCACATCACCTGACCATCTTGATGCCTTAAGGGATAAGACAAGAACTGGTCAGCATGGAGTCAATATAGTGTGTATTCACATCACCTGACCATCTTGATGCCTTAAGGGATAAGACAAGGACGGGTCAGCATGGAGTCAATATAGTGTGTATTCACATCACCTGACCATCTTGATGCCTTAAGGGATAAGACAAGGAAGGGTCAGCATGGAGTCAATATAGTGTGTATTCACATGACCTGACCATCTTGATGCCTTAAGGGATAAGACAAGGACTGGTCAGCATGGAGTCAATATAGTGTGTATTCACATGACCCCCATCTTGATGCCTTAAGGGATAAGACAGGACGGGTCAGCATGGAGTCAATATAGTGTGTATTCACATGACCTGACCATCTTGATGCCTTAAGGGATAAGACAAGGACTGGTCAGCATGGAGTCAATATAGTGTGTATTCACATCACCTGACCATCTTGATGCCTTAAGGGATAAGACAAGGACTGGTCAGCATGGAGTCAATATAGTGTGTATTCACATCACCTGACCATCTTGATGCCTTAAGGGATAAGACAAGGACTGGTCAGCATGGAGTCAATATAGTGTGTATTCACATCACCTGACCATCTTGATGCCTTAAGGGATAAGACAAGGACTGGTCAGCATGGAGTCAATATAGTGTGTATTCACATCACCTGACCAGCTTGAGGTCATCGGAGTATTCTGCTGAAGCATTTTAGTCTAGAAAGCCACCATCTCTTTGATTTTTGTCATTGTGTACAACAACCTGATGATTCTACTTTTTTAATCATGTAATAACGTATTAATGATTAATATGGAACAGATTGTTTGGGGATAGATTGCGAGAACCTGATATTTTCAGCATGTGTTCTTTCTTTGGAATTTAACTCTAATGTAACCATGGTACCTGGTAATAGCAGTGTTTATGATCTCTACTGGTTAGCGAACAGTTATCGCCGCGTAACAGTTATCGCCAATACATCAGTATCGCATGTGCGCACTTCCGGTCAATTACAATTCCGGTATTGTTTCCTCATGGTATTTGACAACAATAAAGGACAACAACAGAAAATCCTTCACGGTTAGTAACATAAGAGAAAAATTAAAGATAAAGTTATGAACAGTATAAAAATTTGTTAACTAAGTCGGGGGAATGTCTCACGACCTATAGAATAGCAAGTTCAAGTTCACAAGTCATTAATTGTTCCATTCCCTATCAATCTACTGTAAAAGAAACACTCAAATAGTCACACAATCAATTATTCAAGGTTACTGAATGCTGTAAATACATGTATTAATTCACGAATGGCATGAGAAATTCTGAATGGCGATAACTGTTACAGTTAGTTGTGAGAAAACATCTATTTATAATGCCATGATTCCCTTCCGCCGCGTTATATAAAAACATGATCGGCGGCAGTGAACGAGCTGGACACATCGGTGAATAGCTGATTAAGTATCATAATTAATTCTGTTAATTGAACGAACTGCAGAGTAATTTTGTAAAAAACGCTAAAATATGGTAATAACTGTTCAGTAGCCAGTATATTTTGTTTGTGCTAGAGGACTGTTTTTGCCCTTTCATGGTAGACATGGAAGGATTTGAGACTACATCTGTCACTGAGTTGTGTCTGCTGCAGGGAACGCAAGGAGGAAGAGGAGAGGAAGAGGCTGGGTATTGAGAAGGAGGAGAGTGAGGGGGAAGACTTCATAGATGGAGATCCCTTCAAACGCGTCGATGTAGAGAAACTCAAGGAAAAGGTATTGTTATCACTGTTTATTAAATAACAGCTTTCTTTGATAATGCTGTTCATGGGGATTTTGGATTTTTTCACTATTCTGGCATTTATTGTTTTAAGTTTGTAGGAAAGTTTGTGTCAAAAGAGGACTTAAAATATAACTGCCATCATGGCACACAAGGCGTTTTTGGACAAGTTTATTCTCAAAGAAATCACTCTTTGTGTCAACAACAAAATGAAAATTCATTAACAGGTTAAACTCAATCACTTTCCGTACTTTGATTATTAGGAGAAAAATGTTACCGTTAGTCTTTAAACCCAAGGTGCTGCTGTACAAAGTAAACTTAGTATAGGACAGTCATAAGTCCATGAGGTATTTCAGTTAGATATTAGTCCTACTCCATATTGTAACACCAAAATGTACAGACAATGGAGTTAAGTTACAAACATTGCTATTGGACACAAAGTTTTGACTTAGATTGAGATTGTCTTGTGACTTATACATGGATCATGTTGACATGATAATGCTTTAAATGGAAGTTATGTTACAAGATCCTTTTGAACTAACACAAATGGAAACTAAACAATGTCCTGCAACACATGTGATACATCAGTTGTCATGTCTGAAATAAATGCATCCATGTACCAATTATCTCATCCTAATTGCACATAACCAGATGGTGTAGCTTAGCTGTTAAGGGTTCTCGCTCATTCTGAAGCCCGCATGGCTTGTGTCCCCGCTTGTGATACTACTGGAATATTGCTAAAAGCGTTGTAAAACCATACTTAATCAGGCATGAACATGATCAGTTTAATGTTGGCTCAGGGATCGACATTGACACTTGCCCTCGAGCACATAGTCAGTTCATCTAAGGTGAAGGGGACCTGAGGCTTGTAGGATTAAAGCTTGTGGGAAGCGTTTGTTATCACTGTTAGATCTAGTTAACAGTTTCAGGTTCATTTTCTAAAGCTATACATCCTTTCTGTTATTAAAGGAATCTCAGCTGAAATCTGAGAGACGGATCTAGAGTCAACAGATTGGTTTCGTTGTTGTTAGCTGTGTTGATGTTTGAGAGTGATTGCTAGGCAGTCTATATATTACTTTGTGCTACTTACGTACTGATTATGTAGTCCTATATCATGCAGTGTGTACTAGCATGAGTTGTCTGTGCTGGCCATCTATCACATGAACACTCTTGAACAATGATAACATGTATTTTCACTCTTGAACAATGATAACTTGTATTTGTATAAACCATTTCGAATTATGGATTGTGAGTGAATACAAAATGCCATTTGCCAAAGAAGACAAAGTGTGGGTTCGAATCCCGGATGGGACTTAACCTGACAAAAGTACTAGAACTGGTACTGAACAAGTGTGATCCCAAATATAACTTTGATGTGTTATATGCAAGCCAGGGGTGTTGGCAGGGTCTGCTTCTAGCCATCATAAGTATTAAAGAAAACAAACGGGTTGTGCTGAGGCTTTGTGTCTTGATTGCGTGTCATCTTATCAAATGATGTGGATCATTGCTTACAACATGTAAAATAGTGATAATTGTCTAGATCAGACTCGATTACTTTCATGTAGCTGGAATATTGCTTAGTGTGGTGTTAAACAGCAACCACAACCTTTCACAAGATCATCATGTTGCCATCCTATGTACAGTTTTCATGGGATTGGCATGAAGTCCAATACTGATTAATCTGTTCTTTAATCAGTTGTTTCCAGTGTGTTGTGTGACATTTAGGACTGGGTGTAATAGACTGTGTTGATGAAGGACAAAATATGTCCCTAAAACCTAGTGAGCATCCAGGAGGAAAAGGTCTGGCAATATGTTCCTTAATCAGTTGTTTCCAGCGTGTTGTGTGACAATTATTACGAGGTGTAATGGACAGTATAAACATACTACAATGAAGGAGAACATGTCCCTAGAACCAAGTGAGCACCCAGGATGGAAATGGTCCCAGCTCTGTGTTGCTTGTCCAGGTGGTCAGACTCAATGGCCCTGTTGATTGTGCGTCATTGAACCCTGATGATGTGGACCATACTGACAGCATCAGCTCTGATACACACTCTCACTGTATAAATGATACTTGTGTTACCAAGTCCTGTCTGCTTGGTTGCAGGATATATCACATCATCAACAGTATTAGAGTTGGAAATGTCCATTTGACTTAGGTGTTTTATTGTAGTGTGAATAAATAAGTGTGATATTTGTCATATTCATGATAATTATGATTTGTCTTTCATTTCTAAGATGAAAACTTTGATCTTTCTCTGTTATCTGTAAAATAGTAAATGCAAATAATGATTAATAGATAAAGGACATCAGGGGTTATCATGAGGTTCAGTGTATTTTTCAAATAATTTCAAAAGGGACATAACCTTGATATCAAGTGCAAGTGGTAAATTCCATTTAAAGCCATAGGTTTTATCAGAAGAGTACTCAAAGAAAAGAGAACGTTTTTGTGCTCTCTCTCTATTTCATAAGGCTCACACCAGAGCCGACTGAATGTTCAACCTTTTGTTACTAAGTCAACAGTTCCTTTTGTCTCACAATTGATACACTTTCAGGTCAAAGCTGTTTTACTTTAAAGTTTTGTTTTTGTAATATTGCTGTTACCAAGGTAAATGTGAACTCCATAACTCAGTATTCACTACACATGCTTTATAGACACCTGTGTTTTGCAGAACCAGCTTCATTCATTCTTCTGTTTCTGCTGTGGTATGAAACACAAAACGTTTCGCCATGATTATTGTTGCACACATATATTATGGGTCAGTACATGACTCTTTTAGGCTTAAAAACTACTTTTTAGAATACTTGTTATTTCAGATAATGTCAGATAATAACATGGGATATATCTTTAGGTCCAGTCTGTTTCCCCTTCATAGATAAAAAACAGCACAAAATAGTCAAGGGTTGCAAACTGTCAAGGTCTTTCATACAACCTCTGCTATGTTAATTTCTGACTTTATCATCTTGATGTTCCAGGAAGCTAAGATGAAGGAGGAGAAGAGACGTCTCAAAGAGCTGAAGGCTAAAGGTGAAGGTGACGTGACACTGACAAAAACTGATGACCTTGAAGAAGCAGACTATCTCCGAACACCTCGGTCAAACCGGCCATTTGGGTTAGCTCCCCTTGGTGACAAAGCTGCGGAGGATAGTGATGAATTAGTGAGTCCGTCCACAAACAGATCACGCCGAGTCTTGCCCCCGCTACAGCAACCATTGGGAACAAAGTTTATGACGACAGTGCCGTCAAGAAGAAGAAGAAAAAGAAAGTTAAGCAAAAGAATGCCTATTCTGAAAACGCTGAGTATGGAAGTGAATATTCTGCGACTGGAGAAGAAACAGCCAGGCTGGCCGAATCACAAAAGACATTGAGGTCTGTTTCGAAAATCTCAGTGACAGCTAAATCCTTTGGAGATGAAAATGGAGATGATATTCGTACATCTAGTCGTAAGTTAACTCCCCTTGATGGTGAGGAAGGAGCATATACCCCGAAAGAAACAAAACGAAAAAAGAAGAAACTTTTAGAGGATTCCCAGCGGAGTAATGGTGGATTTGAACTGCATGATGCATCGGAGTTGTCTCCCATCCCTCGTCCGCTCCCTTCACCCCACACGACTGTAGATACTGGTAGGTTAACCATCTCTCTTATCACAGCTGCTTTGTGCTGATGGGATGTAGTGTATATGGCGGAGGTCTTTTGTTATGTTGGAATAGACTGGCTTATTTCTCACAGATATTTTGTATTATATTTTTGAAAGAAACCTTGAAATCATCTCCTCAGTGTTTGTGTATTGTCAACATGTGACCCATGTCAATTGAATATTTTCAGATGTACAATAAGGTAGGTTGCCATGGTTCCAACCTACAGGGTAACTGTCTGTTATTTCTTTCTATGTCTATTTTTGCCAGAGGTGCCAATATGTAGAATTTAGGCTTAATAGCACTTAATGATTACCATAAGTTGTTTCCATTTTATGATTATGATTGCTTTAAAAATGTAACTTAAGACAAAGAGCAAGTGGCCAGGACCTTTGTTGTATGGTCAGTTTGTTGTGTCTATGTTCCATTTAAACATAGTTTATTGTGTGGGTGCTCATTTTGGTAGATAATTGTAAACATGAAAAAACATTTAACATGTTTGAGAAAATATTTACCATGATGTATAATGAAGTAAGGTTGGCATCTCTGGCGATTGTGGGACAGATTACTTGGTTTTGTTATTTGTTGACCATGTTTACAGGAATGTTTCAAATTAACCATGAGTAAGATGAGTTGGGAAACACACTGGCTGTTAGTCTTATATTATAATTAACAGCAAGTTGGCATGCAATTGTTATTTTTCTTAGTCATGACGTTGTTTTCTGTTAGTTACATTAGTATACATATATATGGTTCAGTCCTTTCTGACAGGGGCACCAAGTCGTCTAAAGCATTACAATTTACTGAAATTATCAGACCAGAAACTACTACACCAGATCTCTATGGATGCAGATTCCATTTCAAGTTCAGTCTGATTATGTTTCCAGGTTTATCAGTGCTGTATTTATGTTCAAGGGTTTTACGAAAGTGGTGAACATGCAAGACCTGTACCCTTCAGGCTCCCCTTCCACACAAAGCTAACACTTACCATAATACTGTCCAAAGTGGTGTTCATGCCAAATCCTTCACTTATCATGTATACAGATGGTCGCCATTCTGTCATCTGTTGATGCTCTTCTGCAGTGTCATTCTATCCCATCAATATCCATGGTGTAGTGGTTAGAGTGTCGCCTGGAGAGTGGAAGGTTGTGGGTTCGATCCTGTCACATATCCATGACTTACAGCCACTCACTCCATCCATTGCTCCTTCATTCTCCATCAATACACTTGGGACTCAGTCACCTCCATGACTTACAGTCTCCATCACTCATTCTTCAAACATTGGGACCGCCTCCGTGGTGTCGTGGTTAGAGCGTCCACCCGGAGAGCGGAAGGTCGCGGGTTTGATCCCAGGCCGCGTCATACCAAAAGACGTTAAAATAAGGTACTTGTTGGTCCCTGCCTGGCGCTCTGCATTAATGGGTACAACAAGGACTGGTCGGCTGTGATGTGTCTGAGTGGGGTATTCATGCTTAACTGCGGCATAATATCTCAGTGGACTAGCACTATAAAACCAGTTTAAGTCTGGGTTAGTACAAGCAGCCACATGTATACATGCATGCATGTCGTCATATGAGCGAAATAGTCTTAAATACGATGTTAAACCCCATTTCACCTGACCTCACCTCTATCCCAAGCTGGACATGGGGGTAGCCAAGTGGTTGAAGCTTTCTTATGGTTATGGATAAGCCTTGACACATTGGTATTGCTAAAACAATGTGTTAAGCTAAACTTTTATCATGTTTATTGTGTCCCTGCCTTGATATATTTTATGAGTAATGTAAAAAATATTGCTAAAACCTACCCTAGTAAAACTGAACTCAATGGCATCACCTACCAAGCTTAAAATGGCATTTCATGTTTTTTATATTCTTCCTACCTGTGTGTAATTTTTCCTTACAGCATAGATCATTGCCCATGCTATTAAACATTGGTTTGTGTGGCCCAGGCTTGATATTTGACAGGCTGCAATCATACACCTATAGCATTGCTGCCATCTTTGTGAAGCATCGTTGAGTCAGTCACAGTTTCATGAATAACTCATCCAAATTCTGCTGACTCAGTTAGTCAGTAACTGTGCTGAGACATTAAGGTCTAGCTAACACTACTTGTTATGTCATTTTAAGGTATTGATAATGGATCCGACTCGGAGATTAAGAAAATGAAGAAAAAGAAGAAGCCTAAGAAAAACCAGCTTTCTCCTCTGCAAAATGACCTTGATCTCTCACCTTCAACAAAGGCAGACTACTCCAGTCGTAACTACCCTTGGGACAAACCAAACAGTTACTTGGATGGATCAGATCAGGAGGAGAAACCTGCAAAGAAAGACACAAGTAGGTGGTGTTTGAGTTGTTTCATGTTCCCTGCTCTTCATGGTAATACTGAATGGTTCTTGATAATGAGAAAAAAATGAGAGGAAATGACAGTTCCATTGCAGGACATTATATTGATGCAATAGTATGTTCCATGATTTCATACCTTTTTTAGTAAAAAACAAAATCTAGTACTGTTTTTGCCAAATTTCCAGTTTTACATGTAAGAGGCGTATACAAAGTACATCAATAAGACAACCAGTGATCTCATTTCCATTGTTGTGGAAGCCTCTGTGGCTGAGTGGTTAGATCTCTGGCTATCTTTGTGTGCTGGCAATTTGTTGCCTCATTCTGAGAGTTTGGGTTTGAATTCAGCTTAGGACTCTTGCCCAAAAGTTCTATTCTCTTCCCACAGAGGTTACTTGTCATATCTTCCTACAAACCACTGTTCTAATACGGACATATTTCCTGGTTCTGGTAAAATCCCCTAGCAGCAAAATATCTCAACATGAATTATCTCCCTTCTTTCTATCCAATCAGAACACGTGTTACATCGACTTAGATCCAACTTGACTAATACAAGCAAATGTGGGGTCACAAATATCCTTCCTCTGCCGGGGACTTGTGTTGATGTGACCCACAAGACATTTAATGGCTAGCTTGTCTGTTGTCAACAAGGGCAATTGATCAGCCATTACATGACTGAGTTCTGTCTAGAAGAAACTTTTGCGCATCGTGCAGGGGAAGAGGTTCTAGTTTTCCCAAAGAATGTGGAAATTACCAAGGCCTTAAAAAATGATCACTTTTGAAACTACGTTGCTGATTGCACAACTAAATCTGATTGCAACCAATCACGAATCCTGAACACTCACACCATGAAAGGGCTGTATTAGAACAGAGGTGCGTAGGAAGATATGACAAGTAGCCTCTGTGGGAAGAAAATGAAAGGGTACTAGAATTTCTAGTTTACTAAGAATGTGTAATTCCAGATGTAATGTTTATTACCATTCCAAGAAAATGTTATTTACTGTACAGCAGGTCCAGATCAAACTAGTCTCATTAAATATGATCTTAGTGCATGCTAGAAAAAGACCTGAAGACATTACCTTTTGAACTTAGTGCCATACAGCTTGAGAAAACTGCTTTCTGGTCAGCTAATGTACACTTTCTTTGTCATTTAATTGGTCAGTCAAAGTTCGCAAAAAGGTTCTATAGTGTTTCTGTAATGAGGTGTCCATGGTGGTAGCAAACGATTGTGACTAATTTTAATGAGATTGTCGGCTTTTGTAGCAAAAGTTGTACAGATTCCCAGTGTGCTTCCTCACCTGTCATATTCCTCCTACAGTTGGTCCATGTATTCAGCAACCCATGTTTGTTGTAAGAGGTGACTAACCGGATCGGGTGGTCAGGCTCGCTGACTTGGTTGATGCACATCATCGTATTCCAGTTGCATAGATCAATGCTGATGATGTCAATCACTGGATTGTATGGACCAGAATATTGCTGAGAGTGGTGTGAAACAACAAACAAACAAAACATGTATTAACAAATGTAGTTGTATCATTGTCTGACTGTTATGGCACCATTCTTATGTAATTTCGTTTTCTATTTGCAGCCGACTTTGGGCAAAAGTGGGGTTTGGTTGATGAACTCCCCGAAGTTTGCGACTCAGCGCTACGAATGAGACCCAACTACGACGATGACGATGATATCGTGTTGTGATGATCGTGTCACAATAGCATTAGCATATCTGTGATGTCCGGACTTGTATATCTTCATGTGCACAATTAAATAATACATCCAAATATTTTTGTACAAATACATAAAAGATTTTGTATATTTCCTTGTGAGATTTGACATGATACATGATACACTGATACATACATGATACACTGATTGTGACTATCACAAGCAGCGATGTACCTTTGTACCGCTCCTACCCTTACTGAAAGCTACTCAGGGTATCACATAACTCACTTGACTGCTGGACATGTAAAATGTTCCAGTTTTTGTATCCAGGAATTTGTTCAATATTCTCTGAAAAAATTCTTTTAATTGCCAAAAGTTGATACACATGTATATTGAAAAGAAAATGTTTTGGTGAAGTTTTGTTTAAGTTGGTCAGACAGACTTCAGATTAAGTTAGGACTAATGCTTGAAGCAAGCATTCCTCGCAAGTGATCTCCGAGTTGTGTGTATGTATGCTAACTCAAATGTAATAATGTAGCTGTGTTGTAATGTGAGCTCATGTGCAGTGATGTTGCTGAAAAACGCTTCAAACTGGCGTTAAACCAAACATTTGAAATAATCAAACTTTTAAGAAATAGTTTATTAAGAATGTTGGTTTTCTAGATCATTTTGTGCCAGATCCAGTAGTTGTTTCTTCAGGAAATCCAATGTACTTAAACATTTTCAGGATAATTTATTATTTGTTGCAGTTTTTGTTTTATTTAAGTTTGATTATTAAAAGACAAGAATGTCGTTGTTTATTGATGTAGGACACCTGCCTCAATGGTGTATGTATGTGTTCATCTTGTATGTGTTCATCATGTGTGTGTTCATCATGTGTGTGTTCATCTTGTATGTGTTCATCATGTGTGTGTGTTCATCATGCATGTGTTCATGTATGTGTTCATCTATGTATATGTTCATCATGTATGTGTTCATCTTATGGTGTTCATCGTGTATGTGTACATCATGTGTGTATGTGTTCATCATGTGTGTGTTCATCATGCATGTGTTCATCTTGTAAATGTTCATCATGTGTGTGTGTTCATCTTATGTTTGTTCATCATGCCAGTGTTCATCTTGTATGTGTTCATCAAACAGTATATTCATGCTGACTGAAATGTTGATATGATTATGCTGCACACATCTTGTAATTAACAGATTGTTGTCTGTAATTATCTTGATTATCTTTTAATGTTATAGCCAGGATATATCTGTTTGTTCAGATAAAATTTTATGATTTCTGTATATTTAAGTTTGTGGTAATACTGTTAGATCTTAACATGCTTAATACTTTGTGTTGTGGAATATATTTTTATGTAAGGAAATGTTGTCATGATAGTCTCTACGCAAATATTCACCCTTTCTGCATGTGATAAATACAATACTGTATGTGGTATCTTCTCGTAACTCATACCACAGCAGTAGCCGTCCGATATGCATTGTTGATATGGTACTATTTTTTAATATTCATATAAATCAAAACATTGCAATGAAATCTACATGGTTTTGTGTAACTTGTCCAAGTGTTTTTTAAGTACATACATGTTCCTAAGGCCAACTATTTTTATGTACGTTTTTTTCATAATGGTTGGAGAGCCAGTGTTGCAATGTACTTAGTTTCTCACTGGGTGGTAATGATCTGTATGTATATTGGTCTGATACAGATGTTGATACCAGCTTCATCTGTAGATGCAAGGATAGATCACTTGTATGTTGGTCCGAGACTAGTAACAATTTGACTGGACTAGTTGTTATATTACCATGTCTTGTTATTTTACATAACCACAAGTCCGAAATGGGCTGACGACTAGATGTGTTTGACCATTGGTGTCTATGTCCGTACATGGTAAACAGCTAGTTATAGTTACTGGGACGATGTTAAAGTTAACTGGGGAGGTATGATATCAATTTGTCATGTTGTTGTGACCAAATATCTAGATCTTGTTTTGTTACTTTACAGATGAACGTGTTTGATTTGATTGACAAAATGTTTTATAAATGTTAATTTATATTTACCTATTTGTTTGAAGAGTATTTTAAAGCAATTAGACATCATTTTTTTAACTCTCATTTTCTCATCTTGCTTATTTCTACCAATACAGTGAACTGCAGTTATAACAAACATGCTTATGATGAAACTGATGGCTATAACAAACTGCACTGTCCCGGCTACTTACTGTATATTTTAGTCAAAATACATATAATGAACTACAGATACAACAAATTCAAAAGGACCACTAATTTTAGTTCAGTATATCTGTAGTTGATGGCATTATGTGTAGAATAAGAGACAGCCTGAAAATGTGATATTGCATATCAATATCTTCATACGAACCTCTGTTCTAATACGGCCCTTTCATGGTGCGAGTGTTCAGGATTCGTGATTGGTTGCAATCAGATTTAGTTGTGCAATCAGCGACGTTGTTTCAAAAGTGATCATTCGCAAGGCCTCGGTAATTTCCGTATCCTTCGAGAAAATTAAACCTCTTCCCCTGCGCGATGCGAAAAAGTTTCTTCTAGACAGAACTCAGTCATGTTATGGCGGATCAGTGGCGTCTCCATCACCCTCTTTGACAACGGACAAGCTAGCCATTAAACGTCTTGTGTGTAACATCAACACAAGTCCCTGGCAGAGGGGGGATATTTGTGGCCCCACATTTGCTTGTGTTAGTCAAGTTGAATCTAAGTCGATGTAACACGTGTTCTGATTGGATAGAAAGAAGGGAGATAGTTTGTGTTGCGATCTTTTGCCGCTAGGGGATTTTACGAGAACCGGGAAATATGGCCATATTAGAACAGAGGTTCGTAGGAAGATATGACAAGTAACCTCTGTGGGAAGAGAATGATATTCTGAGGCTTCATACAACATGACAAAAGGTTGTATAAGTATGATAATATATGACAGGCCACACGATTCATCATTTCATCATGCAAGTGTGTAGTCTGTGTTCCAAAGTATAATGATTATCAGAGTCAGCTGTTGTCTGTGGTATATGTCATAGTAGTGTATGTTTCCCTGAGCAGAATCAGATTGTACTACAGGTTTTATACACAGTAGTTGGTGTAATTGTTTACATAATGTGGGATACAATGCATGTATTTTTATGTATTTGTACATATCTTTGTAATATAACATGATTGACTACTTTGAGAGCACTTTAATCAAGTCCGTCCATGAATACGCAATTTATGTTGTACAGCATGTAAGAATTATGGTTTCTTTGTATACTATTACATGTGGTCAGCGAACGATAGATTCTTTCATATCGCTATAGTTGACACATGCCACGCCAGATTAGTTGTGATGTGAATGAATCAGGTACTTCTTTTGGGTAGTATGGAAATTTGATGTATCAAGATTATATTTTGGTGAATGTTTCTAGGAACAGTACTATAGAAGTTTGAGTGTATTTCTCATGCCTTCAATGTATATGAGTATATCTTGATCCAGATAAAATATGAGTGTTTCCACGCATATTGGAATATCAGATAATGTTTGCACATTTTTCATTCTGAAGTAGATCTGACGATCTTTAGTTTGTTTGATTGGCATTTTAGAAGTTATTAATAATAAGAAAGGTAAGATACTTTATATATAACAGCTTCTTTATTATACATTGTATTATGATGCAATGTTAAGGTAGGTTCTTTTACTGTTGTCAAGCAAGAGTCACCGAAACATCGCATCATAATAAGATAGAGAATTTCACTGTTTATAGTAATTCTGTAGGGATCAAAATTGCAGTAATGAAGTCTTAATCAATTCATATGATGTTCATATGTGAAGGATTTGGGTGCAGTAATTCACTAGAATGAAGTCTGTTGTATTTCCCAAGGAACAGTTCATTATTTTTCTGTTGATATGAATAGCACACAAAAAAGGAAGGAATAAAAACTAATGCATTTCATTAAAACATTCTAAGAATGTTCTATTTGAGTAGTGTTAGTTATGCTTGTTGCATTGTTCTTGAAGAGTAGCCTTGCATGTGAAGAATTTTGTTATGGTGAACAATTAGCATTGTAATTTGGCAGAATAAGAAAGAAAATATTTTTCATATTCCATGTATTTTACTTTCCATCATCTTGGGGTCATCAGAATGTTTTGAGAATGTCTTGCCTTAATTTGGAATACTCCTTGATGTGAAAGTTGATGATGTTGTGAGGACAATGTTAACTTTTGTATTTTGTATTTCGTTAGTGTGAATATTGATTCCCTATGTTTTCTTGACTCATGGATATCTACAAGACACACAGTTATGTAGAAAGAAAGGTAATGCAAAATTTGATAGTGGTCATGGCATTTTACACATCATAATGTTTCTATTCAGCATACCTTGCCACCAATGAACATTACTGGATGTGTTAAAGGCAGTGAATATGTCGTTCTGCTTGTAGGGAGAGTATGTGTATCTCTGTATTACAGTTTTGTATTTTATGTAGACAACAGCACTGTCACAGGTCAGTATTCATTATATACTGGACAAAATAAGTTAGGGATATTTGTATTTTTATGATTGATATTTTATCACTGTGTCACTGAATAAATAGATCATTATTCATAATTTCATAATCTGAACCTCATTAATGATAATAATATTAGTCCATTTATCATGTGCATTGCTCCATGCACAATGCATGCTCGAAGCACCCAAACAATCTGATTATCATTACCCCGGATAACCTGTTTGGCACTAGAGGGTTATAGTCACATGATTTTTTTCCACCGGGTACCCATTTTCTGCTGGGTGAACAGAGGCAGTTTGAAACAAACTCACTTGCCTAAGGTGAGACCACATGTATCACATGTTCTTTGTTATAAAACTCATTACTCTGGACTTCTTCTCTAATACAAACCATCTGTGGTATATTGAGAAGCTTAAAGATAGTTGGATAGCCATGTGGTCCCAGTGTTAGTCAGTCACGAGTTTGGATCCAATAATCATAAAGCTAATCTTTTATGTCAAAGAGATTCAGTCCTCGTGTAACAGATTTCACATGTGTACAATTTGAAAGCCCTAATCTTAGTGTAAGTGTTGGAATCTGGCTAAAAGCAGCACAAAACTTAATCACTCATGCACCATCAATTTCACAGTGAAATGATGGACAGTCTACCTGTTTGGGGTGTTTTTACCTGTTTATGACATTTGTTTTACAAGTACTTACTGTATAATGAGGACATTAGGGCAGTGATACTCAGCTGCTTAAACATTTAGAAAACAAAGCAACCTGGTCACAATCTTATCCTTATTAGTGGACTTTTTCTCATTGCAAACTGCAGTTTGAACAGATTTTTGTTGTTTTCAGGTATTCTTTAAGGTTCACAAATATTTTAAACATTTTGTTTCTAATGTTAGTGAATAAATATTATTTATTGTGACATCTCTGTTGTTCCTGTTTGAATCTGGGATTTAAAGAACTCTCATGATTTATATTACATAGGGAGTTGTATTTTCATTTAATTGAATGGATTGGGTGAGCTGTTTGCTCATGCTGTCAACCGCTGTTTTGCTTCGGCCAGACTGGTGTATGTACAGGCAGAGAGATGTAGCAGGAATATTGAGGCATCAAACAATGTACAGTTATATATGTTACAGGATGAATTCATTGAAATGGGAAATAGGAGCACTGAGAATAATGATATTATTAATAGTTTGTTTGTCAAGTGTATAACTCAATATGTTGATCACTGCATTGTCTGGTGCACACCCAGTTATTTACAGGCTCAGACATAAAGCTTAGAATGCAGCATTAAACTAACAAACAAACAACTCCACAAACATTGTGTGCTGGAAGGGCAATATCATTACCTCCGGTTGATGGGATCAGTGTGCACTCAGTTAGTGCACTCATTCTACCGGGTACCGACCGCCTACGTGGTGTAGTGTTTAGAGTGCCCGCCCGGAGAGTGGAAGGTCGCGGGTTCGATTCCCGACCGCGTCATACCAAAAGACGTTCAAATATGGTACTTGTTGGTCCCTGTCTGGCGCTCGGCATTAATGGGAACAACAAGGACTGGTCGGCTCGGAGTCAGTATAATGTTCTGAGTGGGGTATTCATGCTTCACAGGGGCATGGTATCTCAGTGGGCCAGCACTATAAAACCAGCTTAAGTCTGGGCTAGTACAAGCAGCCGCACATACACATGTATACACACGCATGCACGTCGTCATATGAGCGAAATATTCTCAAGCACGACGTTAAACCCAATTTCACCTACCGGGTACCCCTTCACTGCTGAAAAATATCAGTTTCCTTTGCATTTGTTCTTCAGCTTTGACACATGCTGGTCTGTGTTGGGTTGTCCCCAGTTACCTCACTGAGGTGTAAAGCTGAGGATCTGGTGATATCAGAGACAATGTATGTGTGTCACAGTTACTCATGCTTTCGATCACTGGCCAAAGCATATGGGTTTCTTGTTTGTTTTAAATCTGACCTTGATATTGGTAAAACCGATGCGTTCTTGCACGAGTTGACAGAAATGGAGTTTTTGTGACTGTAAGATTTAGCCGGTTGTGTCGGCTGTTCCTTGGACGATAGTAATTTTCGTTCCTAGGCGTGCCAGAATCCGTGATCCACTTTCGTTTCGGTAAGAGCTTTTGTTTTTCAGCACCATTTCCATGTTCGTCGGTTTTCACCAAAGTGACAAACATATTAGACCTGCATCACTTCGATATTTCCACAAACATGAAGCAATATTACCCTGCCATATGGATAAAATCAAACGGCCTTAATCCTAGTCGCTCGCTCCCGCATTTATTTCCGCCGAACCTAATGTGCAGTATTGTGCACCATGCCATGCATAATTTGCCGAAGTAATCAGCTGACCAGTTACATTGTCCCAACGCACATTCGCCCGAGAATTCAGTAGTATCCATTACATTAGAACCAACATGCATTATTTGTCATCCATCACCTGTATCCGTTACGTCAGCATACAGATATTAATTTTGGTACATGATATGATTAATGAATACCTTTTCAATATCCCCTGCGCCTAATATTGACTGGGTGAATGGTGTTTTGTGTGTATGTGATTGTCTTGTAAACCTTCACGTGAGAGTGAGTCAGTGAGTTTAGTTTTACGCCGCTTTTAGCATTATTCCAGCAATATCACGGCGGGGACACCAGAAATGGGCTTCATTCATTGTACCCATGTTGGGAATCAAACCCGGGTCTTCGGTGTTGCGAGCGAACGCTTTAGGCTACCCCACCGCCCCCTCACGTGAGACGTTTAATTAACCGTATGTATGTAATAGTAAGGGATATTGAGCACAATGAAACAGTTTGGATTTGAACAGCACTGATTAATGGGATTAATACTGGAAAAGGATTAGAAGTCAGTTTCATGTCCAATATGTACATGTAGTCCTAAATGCCAGCATTGAATGTGTATCAGAAGATTTTAGGAGTATTTGTCATGCATTAAGCCTGGTAAAGAAATACAGAAAAGTACATCAACTGAAGCATAGATTTTGTGTTCTAGAAATACACTTTGCATTTTGTTCAGAAATCAAAAGTAGATTTTAGGTATAAGAAATATTCTAAGCATTTTACAATCCAATGAAGATTAAGTGGAAAAGAAGTAAGAAACATTTATGTGCCCAATAAAAATGTTTTGCATTTTACATGAAATCCAACATTGATAATGTCTAAGAGTGAGTGAGTGAGTATGATTTTACGCCCGTTTTAGCAATATTCCAGCAATATCACGGCGGGGGGACACCAGAAATGGGTTTCACACATTGTACCCATGTGGAAAATCAAACCCGGGCCTTCGGCGTGACGAGCCAACGCTTTAACCACTAGGCTACCCCACCGCCCCTAATGTCTAAGAATTCTTCCCTGCAGTCAAACATGGACCAATGACAACAAGCATATCATGAGACCTCTGTAAACGGAGTGCCCATTGCTCGATGCAGACTGTCCTTTATGAATCACTATAAAATAGTGATGGTACCGGGGGTTCTCGAAAAGATGAGCGTATCCTGCCTCATCGGTGGCAAAACACATTAAAAGGCAAGTCAATTGTTCCCCTGAAAAAAATAGGGAATTGAACATCGATTATCTTTCTCTCTCTAGAGCGTCAAATTTGGAAATAACCTAAACATGTCTACCACAAAACGTTGGGCAAGATTTGCAAAGGATTTGAATGTTGTAAAGCTGACCAAATAGCTCTTGAGCAAGCCTACGAAGAAAGAGCATGCTCGAAAGTACCTCAAACGTTGTGGAACACAGACACCAAAGGCTGAATATTACAATGGATGTTATGCTGAATGAAAAGATAGCTATTGGACAGTTGGTGTCATCCCCTTTGTCATTCAGGCCTGTACAGAGTCCCTTGTCATCCTACATCGTCAGACATAGACCCTACCATGAAACAGGCAATGGGCCTCAAACATCTCTTATTTCTAGGTGTTCTTTTCATTTATAGATCACGTTTTTTTTAATTCATTGGGTTAATTTTATAGCCAACATACCCATTTATCCCGGACATGCTACGCATTTTCCATGAGATCAAACATGATATTTATTTGCGCAAGAAATAATCAATACTTTTTACACGAGATGAAACAAAAGTATCATTGGCCTACAGAATACGCAAAGCATTTGACATTAAATCTGATATCATTGTATCCCCCGTGATAAATTGAAAAAGAAATTTCATACTGTAATCAATAGCTCTATTGGTTTCCGGACGGACATGCAATTTTATCACATGTTTTATTCATGTCGTCAATTTTGTTATAACAGAAGGTAACACACACACACACACACACACGCACGCTCACACGCACACGCACGCAGCACGCACGCACACACACACAACACACACGCACACGCAGAGTTGCACGCATCGCAGGCACCTTGACGCACGCACGCACGCACGCATACGCACGCACACACACTTTATCAAAGAAATTGTTTGATTAATAATAGAAAGTATCCTTATTATTTTGAGAGAGAGAGGGGGTATATTTCAGCTGTATGGAGGCGGTCTGTTAATAATCAAGTCTGGACAATCCAGTGATCAGCAGCATGAGCATCAATTTACCCAACTGGGACTTATACAGAACTAACACTCAACGTACGAAAACATAAATACATGTTAGAGCAGTCATTGTGATTCCTTAAACTCTCATTAGCCAAGTGATTGTTGCTCCTCAACTCGCTATTGATCTTGCCATGAAAGTTAAAATAGTTAACAATGACTATGAGCTCTAGGTGTGTTGCGTCACTCGTCGCCAATAACAGAACTCACACTCACGGAGTAATAGAACGAATTCAACCCTCCAACTATGTCGCTATTGTAACCTACACCATACTCTGTGCATAATTTATCATTGGTCTATTCAAAACCAGTTCAGCGATTTCTTTCATCATAATTATTTGTAATGTCGAATCTTCGATCTTGTGCCCTCTCGCCAGAAGCGACTCGGAGTATTCGGCATTTATATTTGAATGATTTATGACAATATGACAACAGTCATAAGCATGAAATAACACTCCGTCATGGAGGCATGCATTGACCTGCCAAACCATTAGGAAGATCTATATTTTAACAAAGTGAAGTAGTATTCACTCAACACACCTATAAGGACGGGCTCGTTTTGTGAAGGGATAAGGGTATAAGCTCATGGTTACAGCCATCAGGAGTCTCAGATCGCCTGGTCTTCGCGGGTGTGCTGGTTTAGTCCGTGTGGAGGGATCACTTTTGTTTCCGAATATCTGGAGTTTCTGCTTGCTTAATGCTTACAAATACCTGGATTTAACAAGCTTACAGAGAACGGATTAAGGAGGAGCATGCCCAACCCCGCTGCTCTGTGACAGGCGACTGGGCCTGGTGTGGAAACGTGTCGTCTGCTCCTCTCGGCAGAAGTGTTGAGTTGTCGGCTGGATCAACTTGTACAATAATCATGGATGAGTCGGATACCGTGGCAACCAGAAGCCAGACTGACAGCAACATAGAGGGAGATAAACGTCTGGAAGATAATGTAACAGTAAACGGCGATGACCTTAAAGGTAAACAAACTGTCTGCCAAATGACAAACTGTTGTTCAGTGCTAGTCTTATGACGAGAAGTAAATCTTAAATAATTTAATTTATATATTTCCTATAATGAAACGCTTTCCTTCATCTGGATAATAAGATCATCAAACACACCAAGTTCAAAATGTTCAAATGTGAACGAAAGGTGTTTGGTTTATGAGTGAGAACAGTATGACAATAGTTTGACATCAACATGAGAGCGTTGACATCTCCACTTCAAACGCGTACCAATACCCGTATTATTATTCTGAAACTATAAAATAGCTGGCATTTCAATTAAACAGTTCTACCGGATAAACATTCTTAAATACAGACAAAATATCTTTTGAAAAATATCCCATGTTCTTCAGAAAGATGACAATTGACCGCAAACTAATCCGTCACTGGGGTAGGAAAATGTGTTATTTTTAGCATGCGGACGTGTAAAATCTACAAAAGCATTCAATTATTATTTATTGATATTATTAGAAGTGTTGATGTTAAGATAGGCATGCTCTACGACGCAGGTAAGTGTTTGCAGAGGACACTAATTGGTTACGTGGCTATGGTGTCACGAATGTTTGCGTTCATAAGACGGCAGCAAGACTCAATGTTCCCCATTAAATCTCAGCGTTCCTGTCAACATACACCCCGGTTACTCGCCATGAATCACGGCCGATAAAGCAGATCGATAATGATCCGTTTGTTCAGACAGGTGTGTTAGTGTTACTGTTTTGGAGCCATGTAAAGGTGTCTGTTCCCCTGGACAAAGAACGACGCAGGTGCTCTTGGTTCGATTCAGCTTGCATAACCGTATACTTGGAACAGGGAGCTGTGGTTAAGTCGGGACAGGCTAGGTGCGAGTGAACGAATGTTGATTAATGTCGGGTCAGCAATTTTTCAACTATATCGAGGTCAGACCGACAAACAGTTGACAGATGACCCACGCCGTCAGGGTACGGTGACATGTAATCATTGAGTGGTCAACTGCACAAAGCGATCTTAGCGCTAAGACGGTCGTATTATTATTTATTATTATTATTATAGGATATTTATATAGCGCACATATCCACGCACTAGTGCATGCTCAAGGCGCTGGTATTTTTTCCCTCGATATTTGGATGTCAATCTCAACGGCACATCGCATTATCAATCTCAACTCTCTGGGGAGTATACCAATACTTTAATATAGTGAGGAGTGAGTGAGTGAGTTGGGTTTTACGCCGCTTTTAGCAATATCCTAGCAATATGGTCTTCACACATTGAACCCATGTGGGGAATCGAATCCGGATCTTCGGCGTGACGAGCGAACACTTTAACCACTTGTCTACTCCACTGCCCCACTTTAATATAGACTTACGACAGTCGTATCGATGAGATCACTTTGTTCAAATGGATCCTGCTCATGCACTGTAGCCACCCGATCCTCAGTTTAGTCAGCGCCAACTGGCATAAGCCTATCTAGAGTGTGGGAGTTCATCATAGATCATCATAACGCTAAGGTCGCTTTGTGCATGTGGGCCAGGTCTTACGATATAAACTGTTTATCTTATATGGTTGAGTTTGCAAATTAGAAAAATGTATCTACTCTACATTAACATTACATTGTATACCGTCATTATCCAACCCGTTTAGCCTTTCAGAGTTGCGGGGGCGGTGGGGTACCCTAATGGTTAAAGCGTTGGCTCGTCACGCCGAAGACCCGGGTTCGAATCCCCACATGGGTACAATGTGTGAAGCCCATTTCTGGTGTCCCCCAGCCGTGATGTTGCTGGAATATTGCTAAAAGCGGCGTAAAACCAAACTCAGTCAGTCAGTCAGTTCAGAGTTGCGTGATCTTTCCCATTACGTGTTACTAGCTAAGCGTGTAAGGTGCGGCTCTCATTCCCAGCAGGATGTTTAAGCAGTCGACTAATCACTTTAGAATTACAACTTCAAGGTCGCTGGGCCATGATCTGTGGCCAGTAGGATCTATGGGAGTTTACCACCGTATAATTGCCCATTGTTGTTTAATGTTGACTGTGGTATACTGATCCTCTTAAAGTGCTCCAGTCAGGTCATGTCAGTAGATCATGTATGCCTGCAATATATCTACCTGCACAAAACGATCCTATCCCCTCAGTTGTAATGTAGACTGAGGGGAAAAGAAAGTACCGGTATACTAAGATTTTAAAAATATAATTGGTAATTAAAATACATAAAAAAGCCTTCATAGCTGCACACCCGTGAAGATTCGGGTTATAACTGGTCTTCATCAACCCATGCTTGTCGTAAGAGATCCGGTGGTCAGGCTCCTGGAATTAGTTGACATATTTTATCCCAATTGCGCAGATCGATGCTCATGCTGTTGATCACTAGATTATGAGGTCCAGACTCGATTTACAGACCGGCGCCATATAGCTGGAATATTGCTGAGTGCGGCGTTAAACAACAAACAAACAAAAACTTCATAGATGCATAGCGCTTAGTCTCTGAAAATACATAATTTTTATTGAAAAACAACAACTCCATTTTAATAAAAAAAGTGCCAAAGCGAGACGGGATATTCAAACTGGAATAAATGTAGACTTGCCTCACTAGAGTCATAGCTTTACAGTAAAGGCTGGGTGAAGAGGCAATGATATGTTTCTGGGTCTGTGAGACTTAAGGCTCATTGTGCACTTCCAGCCGGTAGACGAGATTACCGGCGAAACGCTTAAGACGATTGTTATTAATTAGGCGTAATTTGAGCCTTACAAGCTGATTATTAATTACTCATATATTAGACAGAAGTTGGGATATAGGAACAAAACGCATTTCTTTAGACAATAATTCGATCTTTTACTTAATGGTTTAGCTATCCCCATTGATTACGTATACATATCCCCATGTAAATCTGTGGGTTTAGTATTACCTCCGGTCATTAAATACTCTTAAGGTGATGCTTGCGACATTTGTGGGGCTTGCCATTCACATACTCTGCGTTCACTGAGAGAAACGTAAGTTTGATTGTTCTATTGATAAGTCAATGTTTAATATGTTCAACAAACGTATATTAGTTTATTGATAACTGAATGATGATTATGTTCAATAAACGAATAATTATTTCTTGATAAGTGAATTGTTATAACGTTCAATAAACATCGTGTTAGTTTATTGATACTACAACGCTGATTACGTTCAATAAAGACATATTAGTATATTATTACTTATTTTGTTAAAAGAACACATTTGTTAATTGATAACTTAGTTCTTATTATCTTAAAAAGACATTAATATATTGATAACTGAGAGCTCATTATGTTCACTTAACACCCATTAGTTTATTGACAATGAATTCCGATTATGTTCAATAAACATGTTTTAGTTTGTTGATACTTTAATCCTGATTATGTTCAATAAACGTATCCTTATTTCGTGATAACCGAATACTAATTATGTTTAATAAACACACATCAGTTTAATTGATAACTGATGGCTGATTATTTTCAGGAAGCACATGTTGCTTTACTGATAATTAAAATGCTGATTTTGTTGATTAAACATACATGAGTTTGTTGATAGCTAAATGTTGATAGTGATCATATGGAATACATGTATAGTTTTATAACTGCTGAATATTCTGTAAACACTAAACCATGTTGCAAATCTGGGTAGCTTCAAGTTCTTAAAACCATATAGAGATAGAAAAGGACGTTACACCTCCTATTTCCTTCTTCTCTCTGACTACTGTATATATACTTGTTAAAAAAGATTTAGGACTGTCTGATTCTTTCATATTACGGGACCGCCTCCGTGGTGTAGTGGTTAGAGCGTCCGTCCGGAGAGCGGAAGGTCGCGGGTTCGATTCCCGACCGCGTCATACCAAAAGACGTTAAAATATGGTACTTGTTGGTCCCTGCCTGGCGCTAGGCATTAATGGGTACAAGGACTGGTCGGCTCGGAGTCAGTATACTGCAGCATGGTATCTCAGTGAGCTAGCACTATAAAACCAGCTTAGTGCAAGCAGACGCACATACACATACACACGCATGCACGTCGTCATATGAGCGAAATATTCCCAAGCACGACGTTAAACCCAATTTCACCTCACCTCACCTTTCATATTACGGTGGGGTAGCCTACTGGTTAAAACGTCCGCTCGTCACGCTGACGACCCGGGTTCGATTCTCCACATGGGTACAATGCATGAAGCCAATTTCTGGTGTCCCCCGCCGTGATAGTGCTGGAATATTGCTAAAAGTGGCGTAAGACCATACTCACTCACTCATATATATAGATATGACGGAATTAGGTGTACCTTAACCTTCAGCGTTTATTGCATACATATCAGTATATTAGTAAATATGATTAGAAATAACGAGGCAGATTTTCAATTTTTAAGTTTCATTTGAACCTAAATAACATTTTAAAACATCTTCTGAAGACTTTGGACTTCACCAATTAACTACAAATACATTTCGCATCTTCAAAGATAATGGGCGTTTAGAAATGCTATTTTTTTCCTATGGGTATTTATTGTGCAAATGTTATTTTACGTTTATTGAACATGTGTTTACATACCAGTTACACTACTGTGTCGGAGCATGTATTAGTTTACGTGTTACCTAACGTCCACGGACGTTCTAGCAATATTCCAGCAATGTGACGGAGGGGGACGCTAGAAATGGGCTTCACACATTGTACCCATGTGGGGAATCGAACCCGGGTCTTCGGCGTGACGGGCGCGCGCCCAGGATACCCCATCGCCCCCGACGAACGTGAGATGTACCACCGTGATTTGTAGATAGAATACTAGGTGCTACTTACATTTGCTTGTGAGCTACTGCCGCAGTTCCATTCTTTGTAAAGGCCATTTGCATGACAGAATTATCCAAAACTATCCAAAGGCTTCAAGTTGTAAAGACAGTGTTCAAAAGAATATTGAACGTGGTATGCATTGACAATCTCCAGTGTCATATTAGAGTTCTCTACACGTGTCTCCAAGCAAACGTTCCAGGCTAATATATTTTATA